ACAGTGAGGGTCATCTTGAAGGTTTTATAGGGGACCAGAGCCTAAGTTTCACTAATTAGCTTTTCATGAATTGGTCACCGACCTAATGAAGATGCATAATTTTTCTTCAAAACTGCATTAGATTGATACAGGATAGAATTAGCTTACATATTTAACTATTTTCTGTATATAAAAGTCATGTCCTCATGCAATTAATAGACACAAGACAATGCAGAATAAAATAAAACAATTAAAATGACCACACATTGTTATATCTAGATGTTGTATCCAGATGTTCGCCCAAAGCCTCACACACTCATAGGTGGGGCTTTTCAGAGGTGGCTGGATCTAGAGTGTGTGAATATGGATTAAGGGTGTGTGACAGCTCAATTAGCTCACTGATGGATTTAGCATAGTTCTGGGTGTGGATAATGGGAAGGCCCGTGATGAGGCCTTCTACCAATAAGCTTTAGCCTAGATAAAATAAAAGGGAAAGGGAGGCTTCCTGCTTCCTGCCTGCCATGCTATGGACTGTTTCTCCCCTGCCATGCCTTCCTGCTGTGCTGCCCTGACTTGGATCCAGCCAACTATGGACTGAATCCTCTACAAACTGTGAGCCAAAATAAACCTTTCCTCTTTTAGCTTCTGGTAGTTGTAGATTTTGTCCCAGCAATGAGAAAGAAATTAAGACGCACATATAGACACACATTCATGCATGCACACATGTAAAGCAAACAGAAAATTAAAAAAGATTTTCTAAATGTTTTATCTACAAACCAAAAGGTCTAATGATCCTCTACAAAGATCTAGAGCTAATTGTTTTACACAAAGGCAACTTGGTCAAAAATCAAAAGGTAACAAAATAAATTCGGTGATGAGAGTTCAGTGAACTCTGATCATTGCTAAAACTGACTTTCCGGGCAGTAGAAATGAACAATAAATGGAGTTAGGGCACAAGGGACCCAGTGGGTACACACGTTGGTCTGAGAATGGCCTACAACACTTATAAGTGAGGGCCTCTGAAACCTCAGCAGAAATCCTGAGGTGATCACAGAAGGATAGGCCCACCCTCACTATTAGAATTTTAAAAACTGACATGGACATATTGATGTCCACTGAACAGCAGTTCTAGTGTTTGAAGCCACATTATTTTTATTTGTATAGAGGTAAAAGTATATGTTTGGTGCTGTGGTTTCAAGGCATTTCCCAAAAGCCTGTGTTACAAACTTATTTCATAATTCACAAGAATTGGGAGGTGGGGTCCAAATGAAAGCTGATCAGATCCTGAGGGTGAAATGAACAGATTAACATCATCATCCAGGGAACGAGTCACTCACATAGGAATGGATTCCTTACCAAAGGACAAATTCTGTCCCCTTGCTCTCTCTTGCCATTGTCTTCCCTTCTGTCTTTTATATGGAATGATACAGTTAGAAGTACCCTTGGTAGGGTACTTTGGTAATGCCGGAACCTTGCTCTTGGACTTCTTGGCCTCCAGAACTCTGAGAAACAAACTTCCACTCATTATAAAGTACATCTGTCTCAGATGCTGTCATAGAAGCACAAAATGGACTAAAATGATTGGTCATCTCTCTGTTATTACATGAATAGTGCACACACATAATTGCATAATGTACGTTCGTTATAGAAAATGCAGCTAAGGAAAACCAGTATTTAAAAAACCACATCAGATCATCATCCAAAGATAACCCTGGGGTGGATGGAGATATATATATATATATATATATATATATATATATATATATATCTCAAAACTTTAAAATATATCATGCATATTTTTAAATGCAGGTATATAATTGTATAATACATATGTTCACATTGTCCCCTCTTTTTATGAAAAGCATATACATTATGTTGGCATACACATGCCAACAATTACAGTACTTCAAACTGGTTGCTAACAGATAACAGAGAGGTATCTACCATCACTTACCCAAGTGCCCTTCTCATGTTGGACCTTGCACACAGGTTCATTAAAGGTCTTCCAGTTACATCTTTACTTTGGATGGATCTCACAGAACAGACTCATTCAATCAAGGAACAAAAACGTTTTGGGAGCTTCGACTGACACCTTGTGGAAAGCAGCTTTATCAGCTATTTCACAACCTCTGTCTTTGCTGATACAGTTGGGGCCTGATGCTTGTGGCTGATAATTTAGCTCAGACTGAGCTTCTCACAGTTACCGGCAATTTCTATGTCAAGGCTGGGATCAACCCAAAACTGTGCTTCTCCAACCACAGACTGGGAGTGACATTTCCATGCCTTTTCAACATAAAATTATTTGCATGGCAACTCCATGCAGAATACATCCTATCTATTCTATCTGAAGCAAAATTCAGGCATATTTTATGACACCAGCCATAAAGTAATTGTAAACAGCGCTCTGAGATTTGCAATTCTATCTCGGCTATCAGGGAATGCTGTGCTGGGGTAGCCAGAGGAGGTCCTACAGCCGGGTCTGAGCACTTAGCTTCAACTCTGCTGCCCTTGGAAACTCTGCAAAGCCTCCTGGGGTGGTATCCAGAAACTTCTGCTGTTAGTGAAGAAGCTGACATGATACTCCCCTGGTATATGGTGGTTCAAAGTGCTGGGGAAGGAGTTTGCTTAGCTGGCCTGGGTTGCTGAGGGCACACGCTTAGGCTGCCCAGGATGAGCAGACAGTTGCACGGGATGGCATCCAATTAGAAACATCGCGCAGGCTTCCTCTTTTTTTAGGTACCACTTTAGACCATGGCTAGGGAAAGCCTGTCAGAGAAAACTCAGAGATGCGGAAGTCAGAACCACAAGGGAAGCAATGAGCTTTGGATTTTGGCTGGCTCAGAAGGAGTGGGTTAAACCAGGCATGGTTTAGACTTCAGTTTAGATTGAGAAATCTTTTCCCTCTAGGTGCTCATGAGGCAGAGGCAGATCCTTGGATTGTCTGTCAAGCCAGTGAGTGAAGCCCTGGAGCCTGTGAGTGATCTCCCAGGGATGAGGAACAAGTCGTACGAGAGTAAAAGAGGCCAGTTCTGAAAAGTGTCACTATCACTCATCAGAGAGTTGTAGAAGAGAAGGTTCTCCAAAACAGAAAGAAAGGAAGGAAGGAAGAGAGAGAGAGGGTGAGGGAGAGAGAGACAGACAGACAGACAGAGACAGAGAGACAGAGACAGAGAGAAACAGAGAGAGAAAGCCTTATCCAAGGCCTCAACTCTGTGTCATGTTAAATGTTTTAAATTGTGATCCCAGCACTCGGGAGGCTGAGGCAAGAGGATCGTTGTGAGTTCAAGACCAGCCTGGGCTACAAAGTGAGCTCAAGGCCAGCCTGAACTGCATAGCGAGACCCTGTCTCAAAAAAGACAAAAAATAAAATAAAATAAAATAAATTATGTGTGGAAGAACAGGGTCCCAAGGAACAGCATGATAAATTTCTAAATGTTCACAAAGGAGGAAGAGGAAGACACCTCAGCTGTTGGTAAAAATTGGAAAAGCTGCAAATTGTGCAGATCCGGGGGCCCCTCTCAGCAGGCTGGAGTCTCCAGGGTACAGACTCAGTCTTCCTTGACACAGGAAGTTCATGAGGGAGAGTCCTTCAGAGTAGCGCTCAAGGAGAGCAGAAAAGGAAAGGAGCTCGGATAGGTGACTTTGGACAGCTCAGGTCCATCAAGGCTGTCCCCAGTGGACTGGAGTGGCACAACCTACATATTCCCACCTGGATGTGTCATTGGATTTGCACTACCCGGGGTAGCATGACCTTCAGTGAGGCAGCTCTCTGAAACTAAATCTCAGAAGAGGCTGCCAATTAAGGGCTCTTGCAGACAGCACTTCCGGAAGCTGCAGCATCTTTTAGAGAAATCTGGGTGGTGCATCTCTTGACCAATACAATACATTCTGTGGACATTTGCTTGAGTCCTAAAACTCCTCTCATCTTCTTCTTCTCCCCAAATTTCGGCCAGACAGCCGGAAAGGACTGTGGTGCAGGCCTAGAGGTGAACAGACCCGCTAAGGGACCTCTTGGTACTCAGTAACGCTTTTTATATTAATCATATACTATGGAAATCACATCAGCACAAGCACACAAATAGGGATGTTATAACGTTGGAAACACTTTTCTAAAATATCAATCATAAGGCAACATCAATCATAAAATACTATGAGTTGGGCTGGGGATGTAGCTCAATGGCACAAGCGCCTGCCTGGAGAGTACAAGGTCCTGAGTTCGATTCCTGGTACCAAAAGAAAAAAAGAAAAAGGAGAACTTTATTTAAAAAAAAAAAAAAAGAAAGAAAGAAAAAAATACTATGAGTGCTAGAAAAATACAAGATTTTTATCAAGAAACAGAATATGCAATCAGAAGTGTAAAGGGGAAGCTGCGGGACTAATAAAGACGCATTCTCTTATTTTCCTGGATTTTGTGTTTATGGCACTGATAGGCACCTTACCCATATTTTGTGTTGGGATTTACTTTTCATTTTTATTTTTTATTTTATTTATTTTCTCTCAAGGAACCCTCCCATGCCTCCTTCCCCACCGACTGCAAGGCCTGGCCTCTCCCCGCCCGCCCCCGCCGCCCCCCGCCGCCGGGGAGCCCAGCTAGTGGGCGGAGTCCGCACAGGAACTCCACGGGCGGGCGTCCCACCCGCGGGGAGACCCAGACAAGTCTCTGAGGAGTCTCAGGCCGCGCTTGTGCCAAGTGCACAAGCCAAGTGATGAAGGAGGAACACCGCTTGACAACAGACATCCGCACGCCTCAAAGAGACACCACGGCCCTGGCCCTGGCCGTGCCACTCCCCTAGCGGGCGCGACTCGTCCCGGCGCTGGGTTCATTTCCGGCTCATTTCTGCCCCATTTCCGCCCGGCGAGTGCTGAGGGCGGGACCTAGAGGTTGGTCGTGGATTGGTCAGGAGTAAACCCGTTTGAAGGCCCCAATCAGCGCCCGGCCCTTGCGCTGAAGCCAATAGGAACACGAGACTGGGGCAAAGGGGGCGGAGCGAGCTATTTGAGCGGCGCGCGGGGAGCGGCGGGCCGCGTTCCGCGCCGAGTGGTCTCTGGGTGTGGCGCACGTCATGGAAGCCCAGGCCCTGGAGAGCCAGCTCCCGGAGGAGGACCTGCTGCTGCACAAGCTCGGTGACAGCCGCCGCCGCTTCCAGAGGCGCATGCAGCAGCTGATAGCGAAGGTGGGAGCCACCGGCCGGCGGAGGGTTGGGGCGGAGAAGGCCGGGGATGCGGGGAGGGCTGGGGGCGGGCGGGGGTCGGGACTGACCGACGCCCCCTTCTGCCCGGCAGTATGAGCACCCCTTCGAGGACGACCCGGTGGTGGACATGTCCACGCTGACCTACGAGACGCCCCAGGGTACGGAGGCACCCCGCACTGGGGGTTGAGAGGGTGACCGCTAGGCTTCCGGATGCTGCTGTGCCCGCTTTGGAAAATAGAGCTTGTTCACCTCCTTGTCAGGGACCAAAGCATTACGTGTTCCCTTGAACCTGCGTCTGTGTCCAAGAGGTTTCGGCGAATCAGTGTATCGCCAGCCTTCTCTGAATTAGTACGTGGCAAAGCTAGGTGCGCTTCAACTCCAGAAGCTGCCGCGAGCGTGGGCTTGCTCTGTTTATACGCCGTGCAGGTCGCCCTCAGAAAGCACTGTTATGTCGACATTGCCCTAAGGTGTGCTTGTTCCGCAAATGCAGTGTTTCTGTCGCCCTCCGTAAATGTGTATTTTAAGGACAGCACTTGGCATAGCTATGTGCTTCTTTTCAGGTTAGTGGTATGATCTGACGAGCCTGCCTGCTGGGTAGAAGAGATTTCTGTTAATGAAAAATTTGTCTAGTCTTCATGAAAAGTCTTGGAACTTCACAATGTGGGACAACAGACCATCAAAAACATGTTATATACTTTGTGTATCTGTCACTTTGACTTCTATGAATGCAGGTTAAACAAAACTTCAGTACTGAGAATTGCTTCACTTAAATGACTGTTTTTGTTTCTTTTTCTAAGGACTGAGAATTTGGGGAGGAAAACTAGTAAAGGAGATAAACAAAGGACCAATCCAGGTACTTCGTGTCGAATTGTACCGCTGAAATGCATTGCTGCGGGAAGGGTTGGTGTGAATGAGTGTGAGTGGACCCTGGTGCTGGAAGCTGCTGGAGGCCCTGACAGGACACTTGATTTCCTTGCCTGTCACCCTGTCCCTGTCTGAGGATTTCTGAGGGCATTTCTTCCGCTGCCTAGCCTCTTCATTGCCCTGTGTTTCCTCCGTCCTAGGCCTCAGGGCTTTTGATAGCTGACTTGCCTGTAGAGAAGCTGAGCTAGTGGGATGACCTCCCACAGGCCACATAGCCCATTGTTGAGTCCTTACAGAAAAGACCAGATCCACAGGCCAGGCATGGTGGCATACACCTGTAATCCTACTCGGGAGGCTGAGGCAGGAGGATCACCTCAAGTTGGAGGCCAGCCTGGGCTACAGTGAGGTCACAGCTGGCTTGAACTACGTAGTAAGACCCTGTGTCAAAAAAAGAAAAGACCAGATCCATTCCCTGCTGGGAAAGGAGATGAAAGGCAAACAAGAGAGATGGACGGAGGGTAGAGCGTGCAGGATCACACTCTTCCTTCTGCATTTCCCTCCCTTTTAGGAACAAGGTTTCAAGCCCCACATCCCCAAAATGATCCCAAGGCTTTGCAGCTAATGATCTGTTGTTGTTTTACTGAGTGGCACCGGTAGTTTGCCCGCCTACCATGAGACTGCCCTCCAGCAGCCTTTCCCGGGGTAGCTTTTGCAGCGCTGTCTGGTGTTCTGTTAATCAGTACTTCTCAGATGCCCATGGTTCCACCTCTGGTCACAGGTCAGGGAACCGGTGTCCAAGAATGAAAACATCAGGGTTAAAGTTACACAACGTTGACAGCAATTCTAAAACTCAAACCTCCTTATTTAATTATTTTAGCCATAGCAGTGTTAGAAATGCATGCGAGTACTTCAATTTTGACTGAACTCTGTGTGTAATGCATGTCTTAAAGTACATGTTTTTTAGTTCTTTTCCATTTAACATATATGGGGAACCTTTCTCTTCATGCACTGTATAGTTCAGTCACTTTTTCTGTGCAGGGCCGGATGTAAGTATCTGAGGCTTTGCTAGCCGTACGTCTGCCGTAGCGACTCGGCTCCTGTAGGACAGGTGTAAATGAGCAGTGTGGCTGTGTGCCAGTGGAGCTTCATTTCACCCCGTCTTGTATAGTCCTTGGGAACATCCTGGCCCTGACCACTGCCCAGTGCTAAGTAGCTTCCTTTGCAGTAAACGCTGAGAAACGAGGTTAGGAAGCCAAAGGCCGTGCTGTCCTTACTCTTCAGACCAGTGCTAAAGTGGTCCTGGTGACAGAATGTTTCCATCTGGACGTTTCTTTAAGGTTTTTAGTTCAAATGTGGGCGGACTCCTGCCCAGTGTCTATAGAGAATTTCTAGACTTTCTTGGGATTAAGAAGTTGGGCATAGCTCTCATTACAACTTGGACAGCCACGACCTCACTGGAATTACTGTTGGTGGCTATGCCCAAGTCTGCCTTCATCTATTCCCAAAAAACCCAATGTTCAGACTGCTCCTAAGATCGCTGCCCTGGAGCACAGGAGATGGCAGACCTCGGAAGGAGGCACTTTCAGCAGGGGCGAATGGTAACGTTCCGGAGGAAGGCTTGGGTTAGTGCCGCTCAGTAGCCAAAAGTCTCCAGGGCCCGCAGGAGTGACACTGAGGCCTCTCCCTCATGGAGAGGCCTCCCCAGGACGCACTCCCCTGTTCTTACGGGCCGGTGCTTCCTAAGATGCCGTGGCCCGTCTAGCGTCTTGAATGCTCTGAGGTTTCCGAAATCTCTCGAAGCTTTCTGTGTTCAGGGAAGGACTGCAGGCTTAGTGCATTGCGGGGTTACGACGTGCTCTCTCTCCAACACGTCTTTGCTGATTTTTGCCCCTCTAGGACGCCCCCAGGAAGCAAGGTGATGACCTCCTCCGTCCCCGTGCGCAGGTCTGGGAAACAGGTGAGTGTAGCTCAGGTTCACAAGGGAGGCGGAGGGGGCCCCAGCCCAACAGATGTCCCCGCTATGACCGTTTAAAGATTCCTCATGATAAGTTTTTCCCTTTTCCTCCAGGATCTCAAAAGATAAAGATATCCTAACATGGCCTGTGGCGTCCTCCTAAGCGCCTGAGGGCCCGGGGGCCATCTGTCACCCAGTCAGGTCCATCCACAGTGCCCGGCATGTCAATGGCACTCAGGTGGTTCCTCGATAAACGACCGTGCCCCCCGTTTTAAAAAGTTAATGTCAAGATTTGCTGAGCTCAGCCTTACCCTCCAGAGCAGTTGTGAACGCACGCTTACGTCACGGCCCTTCCGCCTCTGTATTCAGCCCTCTGTCCTTCGTCTTCCTGGCCCTGCCGGTTTCCTCACAGGCCTTCCCAGCCCTTCCTTCCTTCTTTCACCTCCTCGCTAGCCTGAGTCCCCCATCAGCACTTAGACTTGTTCCGATTCCCCTGTGGATCTTCCCACGTGGTGTTACTAGTTATTTCCCTCTGTTCTTCCCTTCACCACCCACTTCCGATAAAGCGCATGTGGCAGCCTCTCTCTCACCCACTTCCTGTCCAGACCCAGCCTGTCTAGGGCACTGGCGTTACAGGAGTGCGTCACCACTGCAGACGCTGGCCGTTCCACAGCCTCTGTCCCCTCTGCGCGGCTCCTTCCTGGCGCCTTATCTACAGCAGGCCATTGGTAACATGAGTAGTTGAGTCACACATTACTGGTAAAATTTAAGGTAGGATTAGAAAGAAAATCTGGTATGTCTGGTGGTATGATGGTATTTTTTCTTTACTGGTATTAACCCAAATCCTAACTCCGTAAGTTTTTTTTTTTTTTTTTTTGGTTTTTCTCCGGTACCGGGAACCGAACTCATGACCTTGCGCTTGCCAGGCAGGCGCTTTGCCGCTGAGCTAAATCCCCAGCCCCTTCCATAAATATTTAGATCTATGAATTTCACAGACTGCTAGACATGAGTGAAAATAGTTCAGAGCTTCACTGTCCGGTATGGTACTTACTGGTACCCATGGCCATTTAAAGTAACAGAAAACTGAGTGACACTGAACTCTCAGTTCCTGAGCCTCCCTAGCCCATTCCAGCTACTCAGTGGAGACTGGGTAGCGTCGCCATTGCACTGGTCTGCCAAGCAGTGCCAGGTGAGGCGCTCAGCTTCTCAGATCAGAGGCCCCGACAGCTGCTGTGGTGGGAAATCTGACATAGGCATGTCCTGCTGGTCCTGCCGGCCGCTGCAGTCTTGACTAGCAATAGGTGGCCGTGTGCCTTCAGAAAGGGAGCATTCTTGAAGCAATGAGATTTTTACTGTAGAACATAGAGTGAAGGAGCTGGGGATTTAGCTCAGCGGCACAGCACCTGCCTGGCAAGCGCAAGGTAGTGAGTTCGATTCCTGGTACCAGAAAAAAAACAAAAAAGAACATAGGATGATACCCAAACGGACCTTGATAAGAATACACAGGGTTTCCTAAATATCCCTCTTGCTATTTTCTTGTTTACTTCTAGAGTCAGAAAGTAGTGATGCTGACGAAGCTTCAGCCCAGGGGTACCCGTCTGCCTGCGCCCCAACGGTGAGTGCCGCCGATGAGGATGGAGGGAGCCTCGGTCTCAGGCAGTGTCCCTGCGTCTGTCTTCCCCAAGTCCTCTTCCCGGTCTGTCTGGCTGCCACACCTCTGGTCCTTGGTCCCCTCCTTTCAGTCCCCCTCAGCCTAGCACCACCCGTAGCTGCCCTGACGTGCTGACCTGACATGCTGATCTGACATGATTCTAAGTGCTGCAGGAGGATTTTCACTCTGCAGCCAGATGTCGCTGCTGAGGCTCCCAGCCTGCGTCTGCCCGCAGAGTCAGGTCCTGAACCAGGCCCGCTCCGCAGACTGTGCGTAGGGAGGTGTTTCTGGGTCAGCCCCTGAAGCCCACACAGTCGCAGTGTCACTGCCCTCAGCGATAAGTATCGTTTGTGTGTCCCTTCCCAATGCCCAGGGGCCACAGAACCGGTGTCTCTGCACGCAGTCTGCGTCTGCCCTCCGCTTCCCTGCCCAGATAGGTGAGGCCCAGCGATCTTTCCCTGCCCCACCGCACCTGCTGTCAGATGCCAGTGTAACTGGTGCCCGGTTCTCTGCCAAAGTTGCCCTTTGTGAAGCGTTTCTGTGATCCCGTGGGTGACGTTTGTTGCCCAAAGTGAAGCGGTGCCCTGGGGACGGACAGCGAAGCTTTGTGACATGTTCTGTTGATATCAGCAGCGAGGGGGAAGCGGGCCTGCTGTATAGAGCCGGGGTGCAGGCCGGGCCCTGTGCGAAAGTGCCCTGTCGCCCTCTGATCCCGAGTCCCTGGCCCAACCCATGCGGGTACAGCAAGGAGGCTGCAGCCCTGACAGTGTCTGGCGGGCGGGGGGGTGGGGTTTCCACCATCTCTGCTGCCGGCGCTGGAGCACTGGGCCTCTTACATACGCACCAGTGGGGCTCTTACTAAGATTGGGCTTGAACCCTCTCACAAATATTTAGATTGTCTTATTTTTCCTGTTTTAGCACTACGGTCATAAACATCACCCAGCTAGTGCGTTTTGGTCTTCTTTTGGGTGGTTGCCCTGGGTAGATTCCCTAGAGGTAGAAATTGGGTCAGTAAATTTTCTGAGGGACCACACCACTTTTTGGGAGGGTGGTTGTGCTTTTTGGTATTTTGAGAGTCTCGCTATGTAATTTGGGCTGGCTTTGAACTCACAGTGATCCTCCTGCCTCAGCCTCCTGAGTGCTGGGGTTACAGTCACGCACCACCGCGCCCACAAGGGGCTTCACCCCTCTGCACTGCTAAGAGCAGGAAGTGAAAAAGTGACTTCGAGTGTCTCCACCTAAAGACTGTGCGCGGATGAGCTGCCAGTGTGTTCCAGAACGCACGAGGCCAGCGGTATCCGGCCGCTCTCGGGAACACCGGCTTCTCTCTTTGACCAGCCTGCAGTGCCTCCGAGCCCTTTGAAAGATGAGTTAAGGAGGAAGTACCTGACCCAAGTGGACATCCTGCTGCAGGATTCCGGGTGTTTTGAGGTATCTGTTTCCCCTGTGTGGTTTACATCCATCATAAAGTAGACGCTCGAGTCTCCCCGCACGGCCTGAAGCCCAGCTGGCAGTCTTCGCATTCACGTGCTTCGCGGCAGTGCCACGCGAAAGAGCCGCAGTCTTGTTGGGAGAGGGGCAGCTCCTGGCACCACCCCGGGGGGCCTCCGCACTGCCAGGGGAGGACCCAGCCCTGGGCTCCAGGGTCTCGCATTCCGTGACTGTCCTGTAAGCATCACCTTTAATTCCAGGGCCCGGAGAAGGGAGTCAGGAAGGACACGCCTGGGACCCTGGGCCCTCCTGTGGCCTCGCCTGCCGTGCCTGCCCCGGGTAAGTGTGCGGTCGAAACTGCACGAGCCGCGCATGCCTCCTTCGCTGCTCGTGGAGCCACCGGGACCCTGGGCGCAGCACATCCCGTTGCTGCCCACTACACTTCATAGGAAAATCCGGAACTTGCTAAGGGAGCCATTGTCCTCTGCAGGGTGGCACAGAAGCCGCCCGCCAGCTCTTGGTCCCCTCTGCTAGCGTGGACATCTCGGACTGCCGGCAGCACAGGAGTGCTTTAGTGAGCTCCCTTCTGGGGCAGCACCAGCTGACGTCTTGTCCAGCTGCTCCACGGCCCCTCCGCGCAGGCAGCATGTACTTAGGTGGTCTGTGGACTCCGCATCTCTGAGTGCTGCACGTGGGTCTAGGACGGCATAGTTCTCCTCCCTGACTCCCGTGAGCTCTGACCCAGTGAGCCGGCCGCGCCCTCTGCTCCTTGTCGTCTTCAGTGGCTGAGGACCCCTGGGCCGCGCCCACTGCATTTGGTTGTCACCTTCAGTCTTACGTAGGCCAGTGGCTTTGCAGAGGTCCCCCAGTTTAGGGTTGCCTGATTCTTCCCTCACGGGTCGCTTCCTGGTGAACATCTTCAGCATAAATACAACCTGTGTGACGGTCTGTCCTCCAGGACATGGCCTCCACCTGTCCGCCGGTGCTGACTGCTCAGTCAAGGTGGGCCCCTCTGACTCCTCACCGCAGGGGCCCTCTATCCTCGGGGTCCCCAGGGAGTCTTTTCCTGGAAAAGCTTCCACCGGCGGTTCTGGTGTCCAGTGGTGATTACCTGAGTTAGCCGAAACCCAGACCTTTGATTGCTTCCTTTCCTGCTGTTCGGAGCTCTGTAAGAGTTCACGGGCTTTTAAAAGTGCACGTGTTGCAGTCTATGGCCAGCGTTCCTCTTCAGGCCCAAGTTGGTCCCGCCTTGGGCCGCTTCCATGTCCTCCGACTCGTGTCCCCATCAGTCCCTGGGCACCAGTTCACCCCGCCCCTGTTGCGCATCCGTCTGTCCTGGTTGTCACCAGCCCCGGCAAGGTGTGCTCCTCTGGTCAGTCATCCCGTCCAAAAAGCTCCAGGGTGGTGGCGGCTGTTGCTACCCCTCAGCATTTCCAGCCAGCTCCTCCATCCACTCAGGGTCTGCGTGCAGAGCCATGTGATTTCCGTGCGTTTTTCTCTTTCCATTATCAGATTGATATGCAAGTTCATTTTTCCCTCTTTGCATTCAGTTTTAGGGTTTTCCCATTCTCTTACTGGTTTGATTTTATTTTTTTTAAATACATACAATATTTCACACAGTGCAAAGTGGAAGGCGTGTAAAGAGTGAATTTGGGGGTCTGGCTGCCCTCCCCGCCCTTTCCGATGGGTGGCCCTTGTGATAGCCTGGTTGCTACTTTGTTTTGGGAAAAGCAGCCATCACAGTCCAGAGGGAAGGGTACTTCTCAGAGGTGAGACGGGATCAAATTCTGACAGCCAAAGGAGTAATCTCTGAAAAGAGTTTGTTCCTGAATATTTGTGTGTTTTTGTGTTATTTAAAAGAAACATGACCAGGACCTACAAGTGCTATGTGTCTGGCACATGTGGGTGACTGAGTGGTGACACTTCTTGACTTTGTGCTCTTTTCTCCCAGGACCTTCTGGTGATGACGCTACAGAGAACCTCAGGAGCCCTGTGGAGCCAGCTTCCTCCTCCACCGCATGGGGGCCCTTGCCCCCTTGCCCAGCAGACATGGCTGTAGTGCCCAGCAGTGACAGTCTGTCGTTCCTGGGGACCAGCGGGCACAGCTGCTTAAGCAGCCAGTCCTTGGAGGGCGATGACATTTGCAATGTGACGATCAGTGACCTGTACGCCGGCATGCTGCACTCAATGAGTCGGCTGTTGAGCGCAAAGCCGTCGTGTATCATCTCCACCAAAACGTTCATCGTGCAGAACTGGGGCTCCCGGAGGAGGCATCCCCGGAGAAGCCGGGTGCAGATGAGCGAGCCGCATTGCAGAGGGGCCAGGCACTCCCAGCGGCGCGCCAAGGAGAGGTCCCCACCCTACCCAGAGCCCCGGAGGTGGGGGCAGACGTTGAGAGACTGCAAGAACTTACTCCACGTCGCTCACCACCAGACAGGTTTAGAGTTGGAAAAAGTTTTCCTTAAAGAGAACAAACCGCAGCTTCGTAAATTAGATCCTAGTTGGAAGGAGCTCCAGGTGACACCCCGGACGCATTCTTCGTTGCCTTACTTAGACTTCAGCACAGTGCATCTTGATTGGGAAAATCGACTTAGGACATTAAAATGGTTAATTTCACCTGTAAAAATAGTTTCCCAACCACCGATGCTGCAGGGCCATGCAGAGAACCGATACAGGGAGGTTGAAGACAAATTTGACCGGCTTTACCGAGAATGCTGCCTGAGTCCTAGGAAACATCCTCGAGCAGCCGGACCCTCAGACTCCTGCGCCTTGGACGTGTACAGAGGTGGCCATGTGAGACCGGGCAGTCCCTGGGGCTCAGAAACCCGCAGGCCAAGATTTCCTTTCAGCAGAGCGAAAGCTAAGAGCTTAAGTGAGACCTTCGAACACCTGGGCAGGCGATCGGTCAGAGTGAGTAGCTGCCCCCCAAGGGGGGATTCCTCTTCCTCACTTTCAAAGTCCCACCCCCCGCCGAGCCCAGGCAGCTCTGCGCTGACACCTGACCTTTTTCAAGGACACAGTTCTGGAACCATCAGAAAGGGAGTATCACCCAGCCAAGCTATTTCGGTGCCAAGGATAGAACCTGCAAGCTGTCCTAAGAGTCGCTATGATGAAGTTAAAGAAAGATTTGACCAGCTTCACCAGAGGTGCTTCCAGACCTCTCCTCAGCAGGCCAAGCTGCCTGCGCGCGTTGGAGTGTGCGCAGATAAAGCCAGGGCAGGAGTTCGGTGCCAAACAGGAGGCAGCTTTGGAAGATTACACCGAGACTTGGGCCTCCAGGGCTTCCAGGGGCTCGTGAGAAGTCCAAGGGGCTCAGCTGCAGTGGAGGCTCACGTGTCTGCAGGCACAGCCACGAGGGACCCTCCGGTCCCTGCAAAGCGACGCAGGCTGTCGGACCCCCAGGTTTATGGACTCCACCCCAGCGGAGCCAGTCTGCCCTTCGCAGCCCAAGCGGTAAGAAAGAGCCACGCTCTGTCGGTCAGCTTGGTGCTCTCTGAGCCACAGCTCTGGAGGTGATGGCTTGTCGCAGCCGCAGCCTTTGTTTCTTGTGTGTCTTTTGAAGTGGTAGAGGTGCAGCTCGGGCAGGTGAGGCCACACCCAGCCCTGTGCCCCTTCTGACCAATCCCAGCAGGACTGTCGTGTAAATACTCACGAGAATATTGTCCCCAGTTCTTTTCCTCTCCAAAATCAGCATTTATATCAAGCACGTGTTTCTGAGGAAAATGCATCAAAGTGGAAAACATTCTTGAAAGAGAAAAGTCACACATTTTCCATCAAAATGATTTCGGCTTTTCTTCTTAAAACCTTCACTTGTTACTCTCTTTCGTCTTTGTCACTGACATTTCCTACTCCTTCCTCTCATGCTCAGAAAATAGTATGGTAAGGTAAAACAGACCCGAAAATGCTGACTTTTGGACCACTTCCAGCTCCGGCCTGCAGCTAGTGGCTGGGGTAGACTCACTGCCTCCGGGCCTCAGCCCTGCTCTGCCTGTAATCGCAGACCTTTGGCATGAATCTCCGGAGCTCTGGGTCTGGCTTTGTGTGTCCGGCACACTTCGGGGTGTGACGTCCGGCCTGCACAGCACATGCCTTCCCATTTGAGGGAACCGATGGAGGGCTTGGGGGAAGGACCCTGCTTAGGGCAGAGGCCTCGGGGGACCCCAGGACGCTGAGCCTGGAGAGTGACCCTCGCCCCGGGTGCTGTGTGGACTGTGCACAGCTCCTCTGCCAGCAGGGCTGCGGCCCACGGTGGTGCATAGACGCCTGCACCGTCCCCCCTGGCCGCCCCACCCTCATGCCCACGGGGCTTTTCCCAGGACAAACCCACGCCAGGTGACCTTCACCGAGTCGGGCATGGGTGAGGCCTCCAAGGTCCCAGCCCCTGCTTTGCGGAGGCGACCTTGAGAGTGACAACCCGTGGCTGTCGCCCAGGTCCCTCCCGGCTCCCACACATGGGAATCCCCTGGTCCACTGCCTCTCTGCTGACAGCCTCAGTGACTTTTTCCCAAGCAGCCCCCCCTCCCACTCGTGCCTGTCACAGTCCCACGGCCCCCCCACCCGCCCGTCCCCCTGCACCGCCTCAGCTCCCAGCCTCCCACCTCCTGTACTTCCCCTTGGGGTCCTGCCTCCCGGTGCTCAGCCTGGGGCTTCTTTTTCGGGCCTGGCCATGGCAGTGATGCTGTGTCCTTCTGCGCTGTGAGCAGGTGTCACCGCACCTGATGGGACAGTGCCCGGTGCTCGGCCCTCAGCAGGGCGGCAGAGCTCCCCGGGCCATGGTGGCAAGTCACTGTGGCCATCGCCGCAGGCGCATAGGGAGGGGACCCTCTCTCCACACTTCACGACTGCGTGGGGAAGGTTGGTGGCCAGCTTCAGCCCGTCCTGTGTCCTCGACCATGCAGTGGCTTTTGTGCAGCTCACCTGGGTCCCCACAAGAGCCCCTTGAGACATCTCCCGCCAACGCAGGTTTGACTCCTAAGCAAGGAAGCGCAGGCTAAGTCTGCTGACCTGTGACTCACAGGCAGTGTGGGCTGGGCCGGGTGTGTGTGTGTGTGTGTGTGTCTTGGTACTAAGGATTGAACCTGAGCCCGGAGCCTTTGTACTGAGCTGTGTCCTCAGCCCTTTTTTACTTTATATTTCAAGGCAGGGTCCCACTAAGTTGTCTGCTCTGGGCTTGAACTTCTGATCTTCCTGCCTCACCCACCTAGAGTGCTAGGATTACAAATGTGCACCCCCCATGGAGGCGAGGATTTGAGAGCCCGTGGACTTTCTCACTCGGGTGCACCTGCCTGCGTGACGGTCACTTTCTTTTAGGTTCTTTATTAATACAATAGCATTGTCTGTAATGGACACATATATTTGTGAATATACAAGGAAATATAAAGCAGTTAAGTTTCTGCTGGCTGGCTCGAGTTCTACTGGAATTTTACTGAAATCATTTTCTCTGTCTTTTTTCTTCTAGGGAAAAGAAGAACATATGCTTCAGAATGGAAGAGAAAAGTGATTTTTGTTAGAAGAATTCAAAACTAGACATGTGTAGCCAGGCTATTTGGAGCTGTGACTTTCTTCCCTCTTGTTCTCTGCTTTCTGTTTGTATGTTGTTTGGGTTTTTTCCTCCAGACTCAGTCTTGCTAAGTTGCCCAGGCTAATCCTCCTCCTCCATATCCTCCTGCGTCAGCCTCCGGTGTAACGAGGATTAGTCGTGAGCCACAGCACCCAGCTGTTCTGTTTTCTTGCTTTACAGTATTGGTAATTAGACCCCAGGCCTCAAGCATGCTAAGCAAGCACTCTACTGAGCTACGCCACTAACCCTTTTTCAAGTATCAGGACAGTAGCAATATAGTTGGCTTATCCATCCTTAACACAAATTTGGGGAAGTTGTCTCCAGCAGATTGAACTCTGAGTTCGTGTTATTAACATTATGTGAATAAGATTGCTTTTTTTTTCAAGACGGGGTCTCACTGTGTAATTCAGACTGCTTTGAATTCACTCTGTAGCCCACGCAGGCCTCGAACTCCCAGTGATCCTCCTGTCTCCCGAGTGCTGGGATTACAGTCTTGCGCCACCATGCCCAGCTTCAATTTAGGATGTTAAAAGTTAGCCCTTATAGGCCAATTTCTCTCAGGTTTTCTTTTTTAAATTTAGACATGTCCTGAGACTTCACCCTTACATTTCCTGTTATTTTTTGTTTTTAGAATGTTTGTTTAAAAGCCTACATTTAAACCCTGGATCCAGTGATCCTTGAAGGGAAATATGACTGTTTGGTGTGTTACATTCAGATCCCTCCCCACCCTACACAGTTTCTTCTGTATGAGAGACGGCAGACTGGAACATTACTCACCCACAAAAAGTAATTCCTGACTGGAGTTGGATGAAAGCACATTGTGGCTTAGCGATCCCACGTTAGTCCCAAAACACCTGCACTTCCAGAGCGTCCGCAACGCCACACGTCACTGTGAGACCGTTTACCATAAGATACCATATTTTAACGCATTATTTCTAATATTCAAGAACAGTAGCAAAATCCGTAAACTGCCCATCAGGAGTGATAGTTGTTGATACATTGCTGTCTGTTATATATAATTTTTTGCAATAAAAGTTAAAGGCAGGAAGAGATTACACACTTTTCCTTTTCGCCCCTCCCTCTGCAAGTCACTCCTGATGTCCCCCACCTGTTAGCAAGCCAGGGTTCTGGCAGGGTCGGCTCTGGTGGGGACACCCCCACAGGCTGTGGACAGCTGCGCCTGCAGGAAGGAAGGAGGGACAGGGCCGCCCTAGTGTCTCGTAAGGACACTCAGCCCATCCAGAGGCCCCCACCCTCGTCCCTTGCCTGCCTCATCCTCCCAAGGCCCCCCTCCAGTCCCATCCTGTCCGGGTCAGGGCCTCCCCTCCACGCTGAGCGACACCAGTCAGCCTACAGCCGTGAGTCAGGGGGGCATCCTTCAGCACATAGCCTCGCCTTGGCCAGCCTTGGGACAAGGTGGCCCCTAGTTCTAGACCTTTCCTTGGAGCCCCTGCTTCCTGGGACACAAGCACACTCTATCAGAAACCCCGTTGCTCTGGCCAGGGGTTGCCTTGGGCCTAGGAGGTAAGAGGTTTTGATATTCTGGTGTTCAGCACAGGATGTGGGGTGGGGGTTGGGGTTTAGCCAGTGTGCTGGTAAAGGACCCGTAAGCTGTGGTAGATGTCTGCTTGTAACCTGCACTTGCACTTACTACCGTGGATCCTGCAGCTTTGTTTCACTAAGAGGTGGTTTGCATTTGACAAGAACTGGTGTGCCGGGTGCTACAGTTTGAAGGGGAGCCCCTGAGGTCTGTGTGGGGAGCTTGGTCCTCAAGGTGCTAGTACTGGATGTGCTGTGGGGTCTAAGGTAGAAGCACTGCCTGGGGAAAGGATTAAGGTGTTTCTGCTAAGAGGCTGAGCCTGACCCCGCCCTCTACCACAAGCCCCTCGCCAGGCACAAGCAGAAACTGGTGCCATAAAGGTGAGCAAAACAAACCTCTAAAGGCAGTTTGCTCGGGTATTTGGTGACAGTAGCAAATTCTCACCCGAGAGGTTCCCTGTAGGTAGTACATTCCCGTCCTGGGGGTCTGGATAGGGGCACTCGGGCCACAATGCTGACACCCCCGGAGGCAGGTTGTGGGTCATGGATGGTGCATCGGCAGCTTGGGGCTGCCTCCCCGGGGTCTCCCGGTGCCCTCTGTCCTGCACCAAAAGTCACCATTTGCTCACACTGCTGCCTCGGGCTGGGGCCTCCGTGGTGACTGAACCTATAGCATACTTTGCTGTCTCTCTCTGCCCTGAGGTCCAGCATGTCCTGGGGGCCTGGCTCTCCTAGCATCCTCAGAGTGCTGTCTGTTTCCTCTTGTTTGATTCGAATCTCTACGAGGCAGTCCAGTTTTATAACTGGAGGATAAGTTCAGCTATGATTTGTCACTTAACTTTCTGACGTTTTATTCTTCAGAAGTTACCCTTTTCCATGGCCAGAGAGCTTAATCCTTTGCTTTCCTGGCTGCCGTTACCCTTTCAGGACCAGGGCTGAAGTCCCGCTGCTGTTTAGGTCTGTGAGTCACAGGTGTGGGGACCCTGGCTGCAGGACGTGCGCACGGCCCAGCCGCACCGGCGCGTCTCACCGTTAGCAGAGGCATCTCGTCGCCTGGTAGGAAACAGCTCTGCTATTAGTTTCCTAAGAGCCGCAAAGCAGCTCCAGTAGCATCTAGAGAAGCCTGGGGTAGAGGCTGTCGGGCTGTAGAGCAGCCCCCCACCCTTCGGGGGACCCCTTGATGCTACCTTTAGGGCCTGCAGGGGGATAGCTGGCAACTGTGCTGTTGGTGGCCTTAGTATGGGAAAGTCTCCTGCCTCCCCTCTTCCCCACCATATCCCTTGGACACCGTCACTAGCAGCCCGAACCCGCTTTGGTACCCTGAGGCCTCCACAGGAAGGGTGAGGGTAGGCCTGGTATAGACAGTTGCCTCTGAGAAGCCCACCGGGATTGTCTCCAAGCCAAGGACACGCTGCCCGGGGGATGCTACTGCACTGCACCCTGGATGCAGCCCTGTGTCAGGGTCAGCTGGGTGCACATCTGCCTCTTCCCTTAGGAACGAGGTCGGAGGTAGGGGCTGTGCAGCAGATCGCCTCCCTGGCTGCCTGGCAGCGGGTACGCGCTCCGCAAGTATGAGAAGACCGTGGCCGTGAAGCCGGGAAGGCTCAGACCGTCAGGGCTCAGTGCTGTCTGGCACAGATTCTGGAGCAAAGCGAGAAGTTTGCCCCGTGTCTTGGTTCTAGGACGCTATCCCCTCAGTCAGGACGCTGCAGTCCAGCGGCAATGCAGGTTTATTTCAGCAGGAGGGTGATAGTTCTGCAAAGTCTTTCTTCAAAACTAAGTTAAAAATGGTTTGCATTGCTGTGGAAGGGGTCCGCGCTCGGGAGACAACACATCGCACGCTTGAACCGACTAGGACGCTCCGTCGGACAGAGCTGGAAGCCAGGCCTGACTGCAGCTGTCCAGGACTTTGAGAGTCTCCAGGGCTGCCCTCCTGACGCCAGGGTCTGAGTCCAGCTGCAGCTCCTGGAGAGCTGAGAGCAGAGAGGAAGGGTCAGCCTGTGCGCAGGACCACACGCCCTGTGTGCAGCGCCCCTGAGCTGACTGCAGGCCGAGGCAGGATGCCACTAGGTACGGCCACCTCAGAACCTTCTGGATGCAAGGCCAAGCGTCAGCAGGCAGAGCTGTGTCCCACGCCCAGTACTGACCCCCACCCCAGGACGGAAGTCCCCAGTAAGGGCAGAAAGGCCACCCACAGAATCTGAGTGCAGAACCCCGGTGGAAGCAGCTCAAGCTCAAATGGAAGCAACACAGCATGAAAGATTCCACCCACCCAATGGTTCCTGCAAAGCCCTCCCCACGTGCCCCCATCGCTCCCCCAAAGCAGCCCACAGCAGGGCCACCCGGGCCAGACCTGGGACCCGACACACCCCCACTTACAGTTCCGTAGCGCCTGCAGGTCCAGCTTCTTCACATAATGAGCAGAGAGCTGCTTCATAATAATTCCTAAGAAGAGAGCCCAAGAAGTGCTCATGGCACAAAAACTAGGTCCCTCCCTGCTAGAGAAACCAATAGTGCAAAGTCGGCGAGGAGAAAGCCGAGCCAGGCGGGTGTGCAGCTCCGCAGGATGGGCATCGTGCACCGCTAGGCCTGCGCTCTCACCCCAACGCTGCCCCGTCTCCCATCGCAGGGCCGGGGTTGACCAGGTGGCCTCCAACGCCCACGCTGCGTCAGACATCTGTCCCCTCACCTGCCAAGTTACAGGCAACGACTCTGGTCCTCGACAAGTGATGTTTAACATAGCTCATGGTTTCCAGCAGGAAGTTGTAGAGAACAGCAGGCTTTTTCTGAGTCTGCAAAAGATAGAGGACACAGCTTCGCAAGATGAGGTCCTGAGGCTGGGGCGGGTTCACACACATCATTCCTGCCGCAGCTCTGCTGGCAAACCAAATCGAATTTCCCCGTAAGGATGATGTTGAACCTAACCCTTGAATTCAATTCCTTTCGCCAGCAATTCGGTGTGTGACCAGAATCGTGGAATTAAGTTCATACACTGAGATACCGCTGTAAATGACCCTGTTTTGATTATATTGAGTTAAATAAAATATATTTTCAAAATTATGTCGGCCTATCTCCACTTTTCAGAATGTTGCAGCTGTAAAACTTCATAAAGTAAGTACATGGTTGACATTCCACTTCTCTGGGGCCTTGGGCAGCTATGAGGGGGACACGGCCAGGAGAAAGTATTCTGTTAATAATTCCCTTAGTTAATCAGCCTGCAGTCTCCTGAGTGAGTGGATGATGAAGGCTTAAATAAGTGAGGCAATCGGAATGATTTTAGGGCTCCAGGAGGGTCCAACTCTGTTATAATATTTAAGATTCTTTGGGTTAAGACTCTCTGAGTTGACTTCTCTGAGCAGCAGGTATTTATTAGGTTTCCAAACAAAGGAGGGGAATACTGAAGAAAATGCAGGAATCTGGGTAGGACTTGGGAAACCCTTTATAGACTTCTCCAGGTAATACTTTATGTTAATTTAGGAGAACTGTGTCATCTCCAGGAAGGCCTTCACTGCAGGAGTGAGATGCCTGCAGCTACAGACGCCTTTAGTTCATTGGGGTTGGAGCCTAAAGTCCTCAGCTGTGGCCTTATCTTGTCTTTGAGGCTTCATGGCTTTACCCACCATTACAGGCCTCAGTAGGGACCAGTGACTCACAAGTAAACATGGACAGCCAACTGGTTAATATAAGTCCTGCTCGGAGCTGCTTCATAGTGGTCTCCCTCAAGGAAGAAGAGCACTGTGGCAGGTCCCCTCAGCTCCTAGCCAGACCAGCCCGGTGCCCTTGGCCTCCTCACCAGGATGGCGCACATGGTTGTCTGGAAAGTGGTCATCTTGTCATCCTCAGTGCCGCTGTCGCTGTGCCCCAAGGGGCTCTCCAGGGACTTCCAGCCCCAGAAGTGCACACACTGAAGCATGGTAGCCACACAGGCCTGGAGGGACACAGGACGGCAGGAGAGGTGGCAGCAAGCTGGGTGCTGCATGGCCCTCGTGAGGGGTGAGCTGTGAGAAGCCGAAGCAGCCCCAGAGAGCCTGGAGCCAGAGCAGGGCAGGGCTGGGGCTCCCGGGGCCCACGGGGACCCAGGGCCCCGCCAGCTCCCATAAAACTCTGTGTGCGTTTATAAAAGGCCTCTGCCCAACCTGCCGCCCAGGCAGCGCCTCTGGGCCCTCAATAGCCCTGCAGGAGATTCGAGTCTGGAGTCGGCCAGGCAGGCAGGGCTGGAACGGTCACCTGTCCACCCAGCCCTATCTCCAGCTTCCTGTGCTGCTGCATTCCAGCCCTTGGCCTCCGGCAGGAGGAGAGAGGCTGGTATGCTCCCCATGGAGGGGGTGCAGCACTCTGACTGCCGTGGCAGCCCCCATTCCCGGAAGTGGCCCCAGGGGAATATCCTGGAGGGAGCGAGGCAGACCAGTGGTGGAGGCTGGTGTGCACTTCCAAGGGAAGGGAGGCTGAGGGCTGATGCTCCGTGCTCAGGGTGACTGGGACCGCGCAGAGGAGCCCAGGCAGGGAGCTAAACCGGGTGAGGGGCATGCATGCCGGGACGCCCCTCACCCCTGTACCCCTGAACAACCCAGCCCACCCCCACCCAGAAAGCCCCAGCCCTCACAAAAGCAGCACTGAGGGGACTTGTCATGGCCCAGAACCGGGGACTAGAGCCCTAGAGAAAGATGACTGTTAAGTCCCCTGGTGTGGGGCCAGAGGATTCCCAAGGCTTACAGGAGGGGACAGACACCCCGGTGAGTCTGTGGGGGAGAGAAGAAGCGGTTGGGGTCCTGGGCCGTGTGGAGCTTGCAGAGCTCGGTGAGCAGGGCTCGGTGAGCAGCCCGCAGCCCACAGCTGCCCACTGTTACCCTGAGAGGCAGCGGCCCGGGAGGAGCTCGGGGCCTTTCCATCTGCCACCCACAGTGGGCCTTGAAGAGCAGGCAGCAGCCAGCCAGGCCTCCAGGATGCCTTGCAGCCCCAAGGTGGGTTCCCCCCTCAGGGAGCGGAGAGGGAGATTCAAGGTGAGTTTCAATGAACCGAATCCCAAGGCGGGAAGTGACCCACCCTATACAGAAATGCTCTGAATGAAGGGACACTGGGCAGAAGACGGTTGTGGGCAGGGAGGCACGGGCCCGGGGAAACCACACCATGTCTCCCCACAGCGCCGAGGGTCCTTAACCCAGCGTCAGCTTTCCCTGTGCCCAGCCTGCATGAGGAATGGGGTGCCCACAGGACTCCTGCAGCCGATGGCCAACAGCGGCCGCAGGCCCAGAGGACCTTTTCCCTTGGGGGACACAGACCTGGGCTGTGCTGGGGCAGGGGTCCCGGCAGTGCAGCAAGAGCGGCACCCAGGCTCTCTTCACTTCCTCCTTGAAGAAGTGCTTCCTGGAAATCCCAACCACCTTGGCCAGCTTCCCAAAGAGGATGAAAGCCTTTTCCCGGAGCAGCTCGCTCTCCTGTGGCCGAAATGCACAAAGGGGCTGACGCAGGCTGACATTCGTCCCCAGCGCAGGAAACCAGAAAAACCCCAGCCGTTCTCCCCAGGGCCATTTCCAGTACCTTGGCCCCTGCGGAGCCCCCCAGGCCACGCCCCAGGGGCGCGTCTCTCCCTTGCTGGGCTCTCGGAGCCCACGAGGGAGGGGCATGGCTCTGGCCTCTGGGGCCCCTGTTTCCTGCTTGAGGGCTCACGAGGGTCTGCACACCCCACCCCCCGAGGCCCCAAGGGCACGTGCTGCCGGTGTCCCCAGAGCGTGGGACGCCTTTCCCTCCCAGCGTGGCAGAAGGCCACCACCCCCGGACTCCACAGCACTGACGCCCTGGAGCTTAGGACGACACAGCCTTTTCCACAAGATCCCAGAGTCAGCCCGTCCTTGCATCTGCAGCTGTCAGACACCATCGGGAGGCTCTCATCTGCACTCACGTTATCAAAGAGGAGCCTGCACTGCTCAGAGATGGCTTTGAAAGCAGAGCCCATGTCCCCCTCTCGGAGCTGGGCCAGGACTTTGGTCAGGGCCTCCATGCCCTCTGCCGTCACCCTGCCGCTCACGTTCCCCTGCAGGGAGCCCAGGCACTGCTCCAGCAGGAGCTTCCGGTACTGCCTCACCTGCAGGGGAGTGGACAGCTCAGCCGGGCCTCACCGATCCTGGCAGCCCGCAGCCACAGGCCTGAGCCGTCCTGTACCTTCCGGGGGGCGCCGATGGCCATGTTGCCCAGGGCGCGCAGGGACAGCACCTGCAGGGCCTCGTCCTCCTGCTGCCCGGCTCCCTTCTCCAGCAGCAGCACTGCAGGCCTCAGCAGCTTCTCCCGGTGCAGAACGGGGCTGCTCATGAACTGGAAAGGAGACATTTCTCAGTGGCCGGGAGGGAGGCCCGTTTCCCAGCAGCCGAGTGGGGCAGGGTCAGAAGCCTTCCCAGGAACAGCAGTTCTGTGCACAGAAGGGGCGGGAAACGCAGTGCCTCGGTTTCCCCACCTCATGCAGTACAAAGGAATGATTCTCCTACCTGCCCCAGGGGATGCGGGAAGGAGATACACAGGTGGTGCTAGGTGACCGTGACCTGCAAGTTCATCTGCCGCCCGTTTCTCCAGTTAAAACAGCTGCCACCTATGCTAGAGCCCCACCCCCGCGGGGGAACAGACTGAACTCTCGGAGACCCCCTCATGGCTTAGAACTCGGGGTGCTCGTACCTCAGGCCCAAGGGGCCCCCTGAAGCCTATGTGTTTGCAATAGAACACACAGAAATTCTGTTTGCAACAGAAATGCCTGGCTTGGTGGTGCACACCTGTGATCCTGGCACTCAAGAGGCTGAGGCAGGAAGATTGTAAATTTGAGCCCGGCCAGGCCACTTAGCAATTGAGTGAGACCGTGTCTCAAAATATAGAAAGAGGGCTCAGGACACCTGTAACTCAGTGCCAAGTCCCTGGGTTCAATCCCCAGGTCTGCGAAAAGAAAAACAGATGAAGGCGGAAGGGAGGACATGGGAGGGTTGGAAGGAGGAGGAAGGGAGGAGAGAAAGCACCACACTGGGGGTTCCTGGGGAGGAGAAGGGGCAGCTAGTTAGTGACCACTGTACGTCTGTCCAGTTCCTTGGATGCCCTCAGGCTGCCCCAGCTGCCTGGCGCTCTGTCCCTGCCCCGGGTTTCCTCCAGTGCATCCTGGGCACCAGTGGTAGATTGGAATTAACTCACTAGAATTCCAATAACTTTTCCATGGGATCACAAGTGTAAACTCCCCAGACCTCAACAAAGACCAGAAAGGGCTCTCTATATGTGGCCACCATGCAGTGCTGCCTTCTGACCACTTAAAGTTGTAAATGTCTCCCCACTATCACTTGGGAGGTTTGCGAAGAGCAGAAGACACTGGAGGAGCCCATGAGCTTGAAAACTCTAGGCCAGCATGTATGATCTCGGTTGGTCTTGCCCTGGCCCGGGAGGTTTTGAACAGTCCAAAGAGTCGTTTTCACACTTTACGTGGTGGGAAAAAATCTGAAGAAGGACATTTCATGACTCGTGGGAATTACGTGAAGTTGAAACGTCAGCAGCCAGCATGGGGTCTGAGCGGAGCCCAGGCAGTTGCTCAGTTCCTGAGGCATAGTGGACCTCACGAAGATGCTGCCGTATCCCTGGGCGTTCTCTGGAGTCCCCTCCAGCCCGAGGCAGAGTGGCCGGGCCCCAGCAGCCGTGGCACAGACCCCGCCTTCACGCCCGGCGAGGCGGTGCCCCCCATAGTGCTCTCCTGCAGGAGCCCCTCTGGGTCCCCTGGTTTCTCAGCATCCCCACAGTGCCCGCCCCGCTACTGCACTGAAGAGTGAAGCAGTGAATGAGCACACAATGGAGGGAAGCTTGTCTGCTCCAGGACTCAGGGGCCCCCAGGGGACTGGGCACTTCCCCCAGGGAGAGCCGTCCCCACCCCCACTGTACCCCACCCGGGCCGGGTGCCTCACTTCCACGCAGGCTGCCGTGCAGCTGATCCGGCAGCTCAGCACTTCCGAGCCCAGGCCCCTGAGCACCAGCTTCAACAGCCGCTGCCTGCAGCCTCCCTCGCTCTGCATGCACAGCCTGCAAAGGACAGAGGTGCCCCCGTGCAGGGACGTGCACCCAGCCCTGCCTACCATTTGGAGCCTGGCACCAGCTTGAGGGTGAAAGTGGGCGGATCTCTGAATACTGCTAGATCTCTTCCTCAGGGGGCACTACGGGGCTGGGTGTCAGTGAAATCCTTACTTTCTTCCTGTCTGCTTTTTATAATGGGATAGGTTGGGGACCTGGGGGGTGACTGCCCATCCTGGCCCTGCTGGAGCCCCGTGCATGCGACCTGGGACAAGCCCCTCTTCCCTCTGGCCTCACATCTCCACTTCTGGAGCCAGAAGGTGGGAATAGAGGGTCCAGGACACGGGTCCATGTGACAGTGCCATTCCCAGAGGCCTTCTGTAGAGCAGGGGACAGCTCTGCACACCTCCCACCCCGCAAGAGCCTGGGCCCCACCTGGCCAGCAGGCTGATTCCCTCCAGGAAGGTGGCGCTGCTCTCCAGCTGGGCCCACACCGACTGCTCCTCCAGGGCGCACACCAGGCCCTCGCTGTTGAGTCTCTCAAACAGAAGCCGCATGGATTTGATCGTGACCCTGGGAGGAGGTAGATGTGCGTGCTGCTGGGCTGGTGCAAGGCCTGACGGGGCCATCACAGGGCACCGTGTGCCTGTAAACTCTCAAAACCACACCATGCTGGACACACGTGAGGGAGGCCTGTACGTAGAATCTGCTTCAGAAACTTTTCCACCAGGAAGGGACAACCATGGGCCCCTGGGGAGAGTGACTCTTGGAGCCGAGGGGCTTCCAAAGGACAGCTGGAGGCCAGGTCCAGCCCGACTCAGCAGCCTTGCACCCTACGACCCCCTCCCACCTGCTGCCTGCCCTGAGCACCTCTGCAGGTTCAGCTCCTCAGGCAGGGTCCCTGTGTGGATCAGTCTCCAGGTCTTCAGGACAGGCGAGGTGGCCTCAGGCCTGTGGCTGCAGCTGAGCTGCATCAGGAGGGTGTAGACGAGGTCAGGGAACAGGTCCAGCAGCTTGGTGTCTTTGTCCACCTTCTCGATGAGAAGGTACATGGTGCACATGGTCTACAGAGAGAAGGATTGGGCTTCGGGGCTCTGACCCTGGGCCCCCTGAGGAGTCCCAGGCCTGCCCTAAGACTCACCATCAGAGGGTCCACTGCAGCCAGGCGCCAGATGTCAGCCTTGGAGGTGGCCTGCACCCTGGGAGTCATTCGTGACTGCAGCCGCCCCATCAGGCCATGCATCATGCTCCGCGCCAAGGGCACGTTCTCCACCACTGCGAGCCACACCTCCTTCAGATGGCTGGGCAAAGAGAGGCACAGAGAGGGGCTGGGGATTTAGCTCAGTGGCAAAAGCGCCTGCCTGGCAAGCGCAAGGTCGTGAGTTCGGTTCCTGGTACCGGAGAAAAACCAAAAAAAAACAAAAAAAAAAAAAAAAAAAAAAAAGAGAGGCACAGAGACTGTGGGTTCCCTGCACACCCCCCAGCAGGTTAGGATCCCTTGAGCCACCCCTCAGTAGTCCCCTGAAGAGGGATTGAACTCTAGGAGAAGAAACACAATCAGATGGCATAAGCCACCAAGGAGCATAATTAAGACCCAGTCCTTGATGCTACCGACGCTTTGGACACTCACAAGTTAGGAGACCCAGATTCCACCCCCATACGATGAAGCTATGAAGCTCTGAGCTCCAGATCAGCGGTTTGCCGGATGCTGGGACCTCCTACCTGAGACACAGGTAGTGGGCTTTGTCTTGGGTGGCACTAGGTCCTGCCCTGAGGCCCCGCTGCCCACACCCACCCCCTCCAGGGTGCCCACCTCTGCATGGGCAGGGGCTGTCTCAAGAGCAATGTGAGAACTGTCTCCTGGTGGTAATGTGCCAGCAGGAGGATGCCTTCAATGAGAAGATGCCGCACCTCTAGGTGATCCACCACGGGTAGGTGCACCAGGATGGCACTCAAGATTTCAGCCACCTGTGGGGGCCAGAAGTCACCTGTGGAGGGCACAGGACACCCCTCCTCCAGGGAGGATGCCAGGCAGGTTGAACCAGCAGTACCCTCTCCTGCACACTGGTGGCTCTCTTCCTTGGCTCCTTCACTGGATTTCAAGGTGGAAGGCGGTGTGCCTGGATCCCTGTCCATAAACTGATCCAGACAGGGCTTCCTTGTTCTAGAACTCTATTTTCTGCTTCTCTTGAGCACTCAGGACTTGGAGGAGGCAAGCCCAGTGAGCGAGAGGGCCCATGGTCAGGATGCCCCCGGGCAGTCCCATTCCCACCCCGAGGTAGCCCTGCTGGGCTCTGCCACCTTGTCGTCCAGCTCCTGGACCCGCATTTGGAGGAAGGTGCCTATCCAGGCGACGGCAGCCTTGTCGTGCTGCAGGTCCATGGCTCCGATGTTCTCACAGAGCTTCTGGATGAGTGAGACCACCTCGTCACAGTTAAACTCCATGCAGATCACCTAGGACCACAGCAAAGTCGCGTCACAGCCTCCTCAGGGCTGCCTGTCCTGCCTCTCACTGTCCCGAGAGTGGGGCTGCTCTGGCATCCCTTCTCTGTCTCCAAGGGCTCCCTTGTCTGGGAGCTGGAAGGTCCAGCTGGCTGGTCCGGGCTCAGCTGGCTTCCAAGTCTGCTCTGGTGCACCCAGGCCTCTCCCAGTCTTCCTTGCTGTCCCCAGCCTGCCCAAACCCCACACAAGACACCCCACCCAAACTCTCCCTGTCCCCACTCCTGTTGCCTCCAGCGTGTGTGTCCTGAGCCCGACACCCTCTGACCTCCTCTTGCCACTCCAAGACACCCCCTTGTACCAGGAAGCTGCCTCCACCCCTGGGACACATGTGACACCATCACCCCACAAAGTCTCAAGCCCTGTGCGAGAGGCCCTGGGTGCTCCCACTCCTCACAGTGCCCCCGCGCCAGTGCCAGTGTGCAGAGCCTGCTGGGTCATTTGGTGCCTGCTGCGTGCGCAGTGTAGCACATCATAGGGACCAGGAAGAGCCGGCAGGGAGTGTTGGGCTCCTACCGTGTGCTGGGCACCCCCGTGGGGTCCTGACACCCTGCAGGACATTTCCATCAAGACGCACCAGCTTCACCAAAAGCCAGGGAAGCTGCAACCCCCAGAGGAAAACTGCAGCCAGCTGGGGAAAGCCCTGGCCCCTTAGAGATGGCTCAGGCTCCGGAGACCAATCATCATCACCTTGGCGATTCTGGAGGAGGCACAGGAAATCTTCTCCTCCTCCATGCTCAGCAGGTCCTCCTTACATTTCTGCAGCTCCTGCTCCTCGGTGGAGCCCCATAAGGAGCAGGTCTGGCTTGCTGTTGGGAATACACTTTCAGACACTATTAGCAGGACAGAGCACTTGATCTGCGTCACTTCATGGTAATTTCCTGCCCTGGATCCGCAGGCTCAAGTCACCCTCCAGCATCTGCCCCTCCATCCCTCTCCCCCTCTGCTCCCCCTGCGCCTTCTCCGTGGTGCACATCTGCCTGAGCACCTCTCCCACAACCCAGACCTCCACCCTGGCCAGTTCTGCCACAGCCGGGTACCGGCAGCGGGCCTTCTCCCGGGGGCCCTCAGTGGCAAGCACCAGTCTGAACCGAGGAGCCTCTCCTTTCAGAGGCTCCCATGGCCTCTTGGTGATGCCTCTGGCACCCTGATGCCACCCCACTCCCGGCCCACCTGCCGCATACCGTGAAGATCTAGCAGGCTGGACAGGACGTTAGCCGAGGCCATGCGAGTTCTTCGGTGGGTGTCACAGGTGCACGGAGCAATGAGCCCCACCAGAGTGCCCAACTGGCCCAGCTTCAGGGGGATCTGAGAGTCAGGAGACGTGGGGACTCACACCTCCTGCCTCCCTTGCACAGCCGGGGCAACTAGAGTGTGTGTACCCCACTTTGAACATGCCTCTGGGCAAGAAAGGCTGCCAGCTCTGCCTGCAGCCCGGGCGTCAGCGTCCCCAGCCCCTCAGCTGGACCCTGGAGTCTATTAGCTGGCATCCAATGGGTCAGCTCTGTCCTGATGACTGGAGGAAGCCTGGGCCTGGTTCCTATGCCTAGGCCTCTGCTTTTTCCTGTAGCTGAGTTCCCATATGGGTTCACCCGCTCACTAGCTGAGTGACTGCGCAGGGCACTTCACCTCTCAGTCTCTCGTGTTGCCTGTCTCTAAAATGGAGTTAATAACAGCGCCTCATCTCTCAGGAAAGGCCGCAGAATAGGACCAGAGAATTTGTTGCAGAGTTGGTATCGAACCAAATGATAAATGCTCTGCACCACGGAGTTGGAAGGCAACCAACTTTATTATGCCTGAAGGCTGATGCGGGATCACTCCCAAAGCGTCAGCCCAGAGCCGGCTTTGGGCTTAGTTTATATAGGTTTGCAAGCGGGAGATACAAAGGCTTAAAAGCGTGGTGAATTTCTATTGGGTAGTGTCGGTCATCTCTCATTGCAGGGCACAAAGTCCTTGAAATAAGTGAGTACTAGTGTTGGTCATCTGTCATTGCTAGAAAGTATAGGGTGGGTAGCTGGGTGCGATCAAACTGAGCTGGGTCAGGTTGTCTCTGGTGTAGTCAGTCAAGGCTGTAGGCCACACGCTCTTATTCTGTCCTACTCTGGTGTCTGACTACCAGCTGATTTTTAAATTTTAAAAATTTCCATCATGAATCCAGGAAAAGCATCCCACACAGCAGCTGCCTTGACTGGCCCTTCGTGTTGGCCTGGGCTCCTGCCTCACTGGACTGAGCCTCCCACTTCCATCGCATGCTCCAGGGTCTCAATGTCGCCACCCCCAAGACCCAAGGCTGTCCCCAAACCCCAGCCGCAACACCGCCATCCTCCTGCCCACAGCTGTGCTTGAGGACAAGGCTGTCAGGGCCTGAAGCCAACCAATGGAGGTGAAGAGAGCTGCACCAGCCAGTTCATCAAGAAAAATACTGCCTCATTCTTCTAGGCTTTGTGATGCCTGTGATACGTGCCAAGCTTTGTGAAATGTGTGACTTTGTGGTGGTTCATTTTCTCATTCTAAGTATTCTTTCCTATGTGGTATTCATAGTTATGTATCTTGATGTGTTTTGTTTGTTTGTTTTGATTGGACTTATTGGTGTACTGGAGATCGAGCCCAGGGCCTTCACACTGAGCTACATCCCCAGCCTCTTTTGTTCCTTTGAGACAAGCTCTCATTAAGTAGCTAAATTACCCAGCAGGACTCAAACTTGTAATCCTCCTGCCTCCCACAGTGCTGGGATTATAGGCGTGTGCCACCATGCCTAGCACATCCTATCTCTCTCTCTCTCTTTCTCTTAATAGGGCCCTTACTACCTCAGGTCCTGCCAACCTGCTCCTCTGGGGTAGAGCTTGATTTCAAGTGTCCCCTGTTCCCTCACACAGAGAGGACTTCCCATGGCAGTCAGGGTGGCAGGCTAGGGGTGAGGCGTTCCCAGACTCACACAGACACCGATACTTCGGACGTAGATCTCCATGAGGTGGAGATGGAGGTTCATGGCTCTCTCCCGCTCCCATTCTTTCTCCGACAAGATCCACTTCTCCAGGAGCTATGGGTGGAGCCCAGAACACAGAAGTGGTCAGTGAAATCAGGGACCAGCCCCGTCCTGCCAGTTTTTGCCACCTTTGTCCCTCCCACTCAAGGTTTGACTTTCAAGGCCTCTGCATGGTCCTAGACACTCTGGCACTCTTCCCTGGCCCTCCCAGGAGAGGAGATGAGGCTAATACAAGAGAGAGGTTCCTAGCATCCTCTCCTAGATGGCAAATGGCTCTTACATTCAACCTGGCTCCAAATGTCAGCTCACAGTGAGAGCCGAGAGCACAGACAACCTGCGCTCTAGGTGGCACTGAGGGCCATTCTAACATCAAAGCTCATTTCAGAGTATAGAATGTGTGTGCTGTTTTTTGGATATTAAACGTCCCCCAAAGGCCATGTATTAAAGTCTGGGTCACCAGCTTGTGGTGCCACTGGAAGGTGACGGAACCTTTAGGAGGTGGAGTGTGATGAGAGGAAGTGAGGTTAGTGAGGGAATGCCCTTGAAGGAGACATTGGGATCCAGTTCCTTCCTCTTTACTTTCCAGCCACCATAAGGTGAATAGATTCTGCTACCAGTTGTTTCCACCATGATGAGCTACCGGCCACACAATGGAGCCAGCTGACCATGAACTGAAACCTCTGAAATTGTGAGCCAAAATAAGCCATTTTTGTCACTCGCTGCTTGCAGCTTTTGCTGCCTTCTGCCTGCCATGAACTGTTTCTCCTCTGTGATGCCTTTCTGACATGCCACCCTGCCTTGGAGCCATCCGATGTGAACTGAAACCTCTACAAACTGTGAGCTACAATAAACCTTTCCTCCTTTAACTTTGGGTACTTAGGCTCAGTAACAAAATAGTAACTAAGACAGAAAGAATAAAGACACAGCAACTAAATGCAGTGCATAATATGGATGGTGTCATGGGACTCACACAAAGGACATCACTGGGACAATTGTGAAATTTGAATACGGATCATGGGTTTTATCATAGCAGTATATTGACCTTAAATTTCCTGATTTTGATCACTGTGCTCTTGTAATGTAAGAGATTGATTTTTGATGTCTGTGACTAACTTTCCATGCTTCAAATGATGTTTGCCTATGTATGCATACACACATGTGTGTATACATGCATGTGCATGCACGTAAGGAGAAAGAGCAAGAGGAAAATATAAAGAAGAAAATGTAAAATATTAAAAACTATGAATCTGGGTGAAGAGTATCTTTGTATTCTTCTTAAAGTTTCTCAACAAATTTGAAATGTAATTAAAATGAAGTTACTACCATTTATTAATGCATTGGCCTGTTCCAGCAGCATGGATCTCAGGCCCACTTCCTGGGAGGGGTGGCCACCCCTGGCTTCAGACCACTCACATGCACCATCTCTTGCAGCCCCTTGGGGTCCAGCTGCCTCTGTAGGAGGCCCTCCATCAGCTGCTCCAGGGAGTGCAGGGCGTTCACATACAGGGTCTATGGTCAAGAGGTGGAGAGACAGAGAGCTGGGTGACCACGAGTGGCACACAGCCACCCACCAGGACTCCACAGGTGTCTACCAGGGCTGAGAGGTGAAGTGGCCTGAGGATCACCCATGAGCTGCTGCTTAGTTTTCGTGCTTTGTGCTCATCTTTGCACGTGAGGTACAAGGCAATCTTTCAAGAAAAGAGGTTGCACCGAACTCCTACAACCCAATTCTCCTCATCAGGGCCAGGCCCTTGAGGAGCAGGTGGCCCCCTGTCCCCAGCATTTGTTTTCCTCTTGCACAGTGCTGCTGGGAAACAGCCATCCAGCTGACATGATGCATCCCAGGATCCCTGTGTCTAGGTGGCCGCATGTGACTATGTGGTGGACTGCGGGGGGAGGGAAAATGGCACATGAATCTTGCTTGTGCTTTCTCTTCCTTCCTGTCCAGGCTAGATGTCCTTGCCCAAGGCATCTTAGGAGCCTTACACTGAAGGTGGGGGTGGGCTGTCAGCCTGGGGTCCTGATACCTATGTAAAACAGCTCTACACCCTCCCTCACTCACCCATGGACTTTACTGAGATGAGAAATCAACCTTTATCTGTGTTAAGGTTCAGCTCTAAAATATTCCCCCAAGTCTCATGTGTTCAGAGGGTGGGGCCTTTGAAAGGTGATTGGGTTATAGGGACACTATGCTTATCAATGGATTAATCCACTGATGAACTCACGTACTATTAGGACGTGGGGTGTGGTTTTAGGTGGGTCACTGCCAGCGTAATCTGGAAGGGTGTATTCTCGTTTACAGCCCCTCTCTTTTCTCTACTTCCTGGCTGTCATGAGGTGAGCAGCTCTCCTCTGCCAGGCCTTTGTACCATGATGTTTCTGCCTTGGAGCCAGCCAGCTATGGACTGGCAATCATGAGCTAAATGAAAACTCCCCTCCTGTAAATTGTGGGAGTCAGATATTTTGTCCTCACTAATATATCCGGTTAAACCACCAACGTTCAGGGTTTATCTGTTACAGCAGTCCATAGCACCTTATACTTACTGATAGAACCCACAACACATTGCTGCCTATAACCACTCACAGGTGGTTTGGAAAGGCAAAATCTGCCCACGTCCACTAAACTTCCAGGTCCTGACCCAGAAACTGAGGTGGTCCCAAGAGACATACCTTAATGGCCTCATTGTCCTCTCCTGGGGGTTGGAGAGAAATTACAGAATGTATACTGATCTCCATCAGCTCACTGCTTTCTTCTGTGGAGTAGAAAGGCCTCAGTTTGCTGGGGAAAGAGGAGAGATCATAAGTGAGTTGAGCCTTTGCCACCCTCTTCCCAGTCTGGGCACAAAGGCAAATCGCAGCCGACTTCCTGTTTGTGGGCTCAGGTAACCCATCCCTGCCTGGGGCCCTGCTCTGCCCTGCCACCAGTATCCAGTGCTCTGCCTGTGACTAAGGCAGAGATTCAGAGGTACAAGGCCGCCTCTCCCACATGCTGCCACACGCTCTAATGAATCTCCCTGAATGCCCTCCCAGGCTGCTCCTAGTTCAGGATTTTCAGAGTATAATACCCGGACCACCAGCGGAGGCTTGGAGTACATTAGCAACACAAATTTTACAGTGCTGCTTCAGACCTGCTGAATCAAAACCTCTGCCGGAGTGTCTCTGTCTTTCATGTTTCAATAAGCCATCCAGGGGTGGTCACTAGCTGGGTGGTGCACACGAGCTTACTCTCTACCCCATTCATCAATAGTGCCGGAGCCTCGTTGCATATCATAACAACCTGGAGAGCTTTCCACAGACCCCAGAGCCCATGTCTAAGCCTAAATTTCAAAGTTCCCCAGTGGTTCTGTTATGACCCAGAGCGGAGAGACACCACCCTACCTTAACTGTAAAACCTCTGCCACCTAAGCATGTCTTGTTCTTCACCCTCCAGAGAGGTGCCCACACCTGACCAAATCTAGTCACTCTGTGTATGTGTTTGTCTTTTCTCCAAGTCCTTGAAAGGCTGGGATCAGCGCTTCACCTGCAACTCAACTGAGGTGGGTGAATCATATTTGGTGTCCGACCCTGTGTCACCTTAAAGCACTGAGTAGCTCTGCTAAGTCCCTAACTAAAGTCCATCTCCTACAGTTAAAGTTGCCCAAAGATGATCTGACCATTCTGAGCACTAATTTCACAAATCCCTAACTTCCCTCCCCTCCAGTGGACTGGTTGATAATTCCAGGAGGGCAAACCTCGGCCACTGCATTTCCTCACATAAGCTCTCATAATAAAAAGCACACAGTTTGTTCATGGGCCCAACCCAACTTGAAGGGTACAGTCTCCCCATAATGCTTTCCAGCATTGCTTGCTAGGATTTCTTGCTCGAAACATCCCCCTCATGCACCCAGAGCTGCCCACCCACCTGCCATTTGCCTCCCTGTGCAAAAGAGGTCCCCAGCCTGAAAGAACGGGAAAGGAGTAGACCCCATTTACCATGTTGCCCGCTGCCCCGAGGAGCTGCTGCCTGAGACCCCTGCCGCAGAGGCAGGGAGGAAGATGCAGTGCAAGCCCTGAAGGTGCAGCAAGGGCCTGGTCATGGGCTTTGTCCCCGCGCTTGGGGGGCCCTTGGGGCTGGGCAGGGGCCCAGCTCACCTCAGGTGGGAGAGGGCATCCATGGCCATTGCCTGCACAGGAGAAGCCAGATGGTCGGTCGGCTCTGCCCTGATGATTGCCTGCCCAGCACAAGCAGGGTGGTAATGCGTCAGCTTCCCAGAGGTTCGAGGAGGGGAGGAGCAGTGGCCCTTAGCTGACAGTGGTGACTGGCCACACTGCCCAGGGTTAGCACAGGAAGAGCTGGTCCTAGTACCCCATCCCTCTTTTGTTCTTTTCAGGTTGACTTGCCCACAGCACCTTCGTGTGGAAGGAGCTTCTCACTCAGGGCCATTGCTGGCCTGCCGGGCATCCTTGGCCACACAACACCCACCTAAGCCAAGATCCCGTGTGCCTCTCATAGGCTCAATGCCTGCATCACAGGGCTGTGGCCAGCTGGCATGAAACGACTCAGTTCCCGGCCAACAGAGGCTTTTCCCACCCACTTGTCCTAGGGACTGTGTCCAGCACACGCTGGGTCCTTCCCACAGGCAAGCAGCACTGGGGCTGGAGAGGTGTGAGGACGAAGGACACTGGCTGTCCCGTAGGCTGCATCCACCTTTGGACAACTGATATTTTCTACATCTTGCCCAAGGTCTGTGCAAATGTCCCTCTAAGCACTGCTTCTAGACCACTGTTTAGGAAGCACCAATGCTGCGGCTGGCCACCCGGGACCTGACCCCTAAGCCAGCCTCCTGCAGTCGGTGCAAGGCTTACATCAGCTAAGATCCTGCCCTGGCTTCCAACCCCTTCCCGGCCTGTGAAACCCTTCATCAGAGCCAAAACTTGTTCTCAGAACTCCTCCAGTCAGATGGATGGAGGCAGAACTGAGACAGGGAGGGCTCTGCAGCCCCCTTGTCCCTGAATACCTTCAGGAGCTCTGAAAACCCAACTAGGAACAAAGCAGTGAGTAGAGGGTTAGACCCCAAACCATCCAGGCCTGAGGAGCCCCACTCAGCTCACCGTTATGAGGCCAGTAAGAGTCTCCTTTGGGTCAAACTGAAAGTCCTCCAGGTCCTTGATGTTTCCGAGGGCAGTGGTGACCTGCGTGACACTCTCCATGAAGGCCATTTTGAGGCCCGTATCCTGTGACCAGCAGAGGGACAGGAAGGGGAACCCATTTACGAGGGAGCCCTGGGAGATCCTGAGTCACAGCCCTTGCTCCTGGATCCTTCCTCTACTTGGAGAAGGGGTCAGTGTCAGGGTGCTCTGAGTGACCGGTCTTTTTGTCCTTCACTACATTGACTCAGCATCTGTGCATGCCAGGGACACTGGACACAGGACGGCTCTCCAGGCCCCATGGAGGACGTCACTACCCCCAGGCTTCCCTCATCTGTGCCCGAGGCAGCAACACTGGAAGTGGGCATCCTCAGTGACCAGGGTCACCTCATGTGTCACCTAAGAGGCGGCATGAGTTACTGAATTAAAAAATTAGATTTTTGAAATTCCACTTACATGAGAACTTGGAGCATGTGGAGAAGGACATTCGTTAGATAATCCTTCAGTGAATTACCTCAGGCCTGGCCAAGTCATATGATTGTTTGGTTCCAGGAAGTCTAGCAAAAGCATTGGTGCAAAGAAAATGATAGCAGGACCTGTGTCCCTGTGGAAAGCTGTGGGACAACACTAGATGCTTTGCTGAGATATGCCCGAAGGCATGATAACATGACGGCTAACTAGTCAAGTCTCACTCTTGTGATAACTGAGTTGTATCGTCCTTGCTAAACCTGTTGCTATCCTCCCATTTGCCCAGCTGCTTCCTTTGTTCTTTCTCAATAAAAGGTTACTGAAAATGGTAATCGAGGCTTCAGTCCGAGAGGTTGTAGCCCCTTGATCCCACAACTGTCTCTCTTGTTTTTCTTTTCATCCACAACACCTCATTCTCGGGAACTGTCACCCCAGACAGAAATGGAATGTCAAATTCTTAGAGGCAGAAAGTGAAATGGAGATTGCCAAGGGCTAGGACAGGAGGATAAAGGGAATTAGTGTTTACTGGGGGCAAAGTTTCAGGTTGGGAAGACCAAGAATCCCAGAGATGGAGCTCACGGTGGCTACACAGCAACGTGAACTTATTTACTGCCGCTAAAAAGGGTTACAGCAGCAATTTTCATGCTTGATGTATTGTTATGGTTTGTGTCTGGATGTCCCCGCAAAGCCCCATGCAGTCATGGGGCAGGCTTCTAGAGTTTATGATTGATTCATGGTCCAGTGTTGGGATTAAGGATGTGACTGCTACACCCGCCCTGGGGCAGATAGTTTGCATACAATGTAAGGGAGGGAAAGAGGCTACTTGCCCCAGGTTCTCCCTTTTGCTCTTGTTGCTTTTGCAATTTTCCACCACCATGAACCGTTGCCCTCTGCCATGTGCCTTTCTGCCTTGGAGCCAGCTGAGTATGGACTGAAACCTCCACACACTGTGAGCTAAATAAACCTTTCCTTCCTTAATTTGGAGTGTCAGGTATTTTGTCTCAGCAACGAAAGAAAAGTAACCAAGACAGTGTATTTGACCACTATTTTCAAAATGGAAAATAAAATAACTCCTGCTTTGCTCTCTGTGCGTTCTCTCTTCCTTGCCATCCCAAGGAAGTACTCGGTCCCCTTGCACCTCTTTGAGGACGACCCCCTCCTTGTCCTTCATGACCGGACCAGGCCTCCGTCAGTGTCAGGCAGAGGCGGGGGTGGAGCGAGTGGGAGAGGCTGGGAGGAGGTGGGGCTGACCCTGTGGCTTCCAGGGACCCGCGCATGACACCAGAGCACAAGGAGCAGTACACGGCCTGGGAGCTCCCGGGGAAGAGGGGTGTCCGGATGATGATGTGGGCTGACACCAGCCAGTCTGGCTCAGGGAAGGCAGCTCCCACCCCAGCCCTGGCCGCGGAGGTGGGATGTGCTTACCTGACAGCTGCTGGAGTAGTGGTGAAGGATCTTGGCCGTGATGGGGCTGTCCACGTAGGTGAGGAGCATCTGGGGGTGGCAGTGAGAGGCCACGCAGCTGTACATCACCATGAGGGTGCTCTTGACAGTCTCCCGCCTCCAGGGGTGATCCTTCTGCAGGGAGCGAGAAGGGGGGCAAACGCCCTGAGGGGAGCTGGGGTTGCTCCATAGACCCCTCCTGCCGGAAGCAGAAGCTGTCCCTTCTTTGGCCACAGAACCAAAGGAGCCCTGGGAACACTGGGAGGTACTTCGGCAGGCTGTTTCCCAAGTCCCAGAAGCACTCATTCATTTGCTCACGCATTTATTCATTCACATCTTTGCTGAGCACCTGTCCCACACCAGGCTCTCGGCAGGAGGTGGGGAGCAAGACAGACCAGCACCCCACACCAGGGAGGCTTCAGTTCAAGAGAGATGTGAGGACCACCCCTCAGCTGTGAGTGCGAGGTCTGTGTGGACCCCCTAAGCAGAGGCCACCTGCGCCCTCTTTGCGCCTCCCCTTGCCAGGCACCTAAACCAGGCTGGGCACCCGTGGGCTGGCGCGCTGGTGGGGACGGCCTGTCCTTCTGCTGTGAGCACCCTCTGAGCATCTCGGGTAGGGGGAGGTGCTGCAGCCGCCAAAATCCTCGGACAGGACCTGGGGCAGCCATGCACAGCTACGCCTGGAGAAAAACTCAAGGGCTCCAGCCCCGCTGCGCCGAAAAGCTGGGCCCATCCCTGCTCTCTCCATCCAAACCAGACCCTGGGCAAGGGTCTGAGGTCAAGGCCAAAGCCCAAGGTACTGACGCCTTGGATGGTTTCCCTGGGGTTCCCAGCCAGCTGCAGGCCCATTCCCCAGGGAAGGGAGGGGCAATGATTAAGAACAAAGCCAAATCCTGGGGTCCCCACAGGCCCAGCGGGAGCATTCCCACATGCTTCTGCGTCCTTCTCTATCAGTGGTAGGAACAGGGTACTTCTGAGTCCAGCCCCAGGGACACCGCAGAGTGGGTACACTGAGGCAGAGCTTATCACACATGGACAGCACCCACCAAGTGTCCTAGCTCTGGTAGGGCCTGGACTGTGCACCCAGAGAGCCTCTGCTGCTGGTTTGAGGAACCCACCATGAGCCTCCAGCAGCTGGGACCCTGGACCCAATATCTGGGTCCTAGAAAGGCCCAGCCTGTGCTCTTCAGATGAACCCACAGCCCAGGTTCTGCTAGAGGAGGTCCTAGGAGACACGGAGACCCCACTGACCCAGCTGTGCAGCGAGCAGGCCCTACCTGCCAGGCACTGATCTGCCAGGTCTGCTCTGACTCCTGGATCCTCTCCTCAAAGTCCTGGAGCACGTTCAGTACTGTCTTCACCTGGCCGTGGGCGCACAGGCCAAAGCACTGAATCATACCCTGCAAGGGAGCCCCAGCCAGCCACAGTGAGGGCAGGGGGAGGGCAGGGGCCCACACGCACACGTGCACACACACAGGTGCACAGCCAGCCACACGGGCACAGGAACACGGAGCTCAACACATAGTCACACCCAAACCCCCTCCCTCCCAGGGTCCAGAGGGAGTGGTGGACAGGAGGGGACTGCAGGCGCCTTCACCTCCCTGTCGAAGTCGTTGCCATAGTCTGTCTTGTATAGCATCTCCAACAGCAGCAACTCCACCTTGTCGGCCTCCAGGCCCATGGCCAAGGTGAAGCCCAAGGCCCTGTACAGGAAGTGCTGCAGAGGCAGAAGGAGGAGCTCACACCTCCCTTCTCCCACCTCCAGGTGGCGCTATTGCAAAGCACTTGCTATGTGCCACCCCCTCCTCCAACCATGTACAGTTCTCTGTGCATTTCCTATATGCTTTTAAATAAACACTTGGGTTATTCTTGGGTTCAGGCTGTAAAAAAGCAGGTTACATTTTAGTAGGGGAGGCCAAGTTCCTGTCCTATAAAGTTGAACCCCTGTGCACTCCCACAAATCTAGGAGCATCAGTTTCCCAGACAGTCCCCAACAAGATACTATCAGTGAGAAGGGGAATTTTCTCATTTCGCTCTGTCACTCTATTAGTCATGTTGGTCGTTTTTCCATATTCTCATGAGCCATTTTAATTCTTTGAATTTCTGGCCACATTTTCTAATTTTTCTGGTATTATTTTACTTATGAGAATTTCATTTGTATGTTTGGAAACATGTAATGAGAACAACAATGCATTATCTCACTTAATCCTCAAAATGATGTCATAATATCAATAGGACTATAGTATGTAAAAACACGTAAACAAGCAGGAAATGAAACCAGGATTTAAAATCAGGTGAAAATAGTCAGAGGCTCATATTCTTAACAACTGCTTATCAAAACTCTTAACTAGGAGGCCACTTGTAGGAGTACAGCTGCTAATGTCTCATCTCTTTTTTGACTTTATTCCTGTCAATCTGATTTCATCAGATTGATGAAATCAGTCAATTTTAGTAGTGGTAAAGTTCATCTCTTTTCTTTTGTTTTCCTTGGTTTCTTCTCATGCATATGAAAGCTAATCCCACACTGAGGCTATACAAATACTCGTCAATATATTCTTCATGTTTTTCCCTGTTTTTATTTTCTACACTGACATCTTTGCTTCGTTCTGGGAAAACAAGTCTTTCCTCATGAGTTTACTTTTCCATATGCTCGTAACTAATCTCATTTTCTCAGTCAGATGAAGGTGGAAATAATGTTGTCAAATCCCATAAAGTTATCACGTTTCCACAAGCTCTCCTTGAAGGGATTTGACAGGAGTAACTGTATCACAGATCCATATGGGGAAAATGGACATTACCACACTGAACCTTTCTGTCCCTGTACGGTTTTCAGGCATTTCCTTCATTTCCCAGCCTTCTTTGTGATTTTCTATTCTTCACTTTGGTTCCTTTGTCCTTCTTTCACACAGTCCACATTTTATCTGCTTATATACGTTGCATGCTGTTGTGACTTCAAAGAGAACCCTTTGGCATATCTTCTTTCATCATTGCGTATAGGAAAGATAATGATTTTTGCATACCGATCATGGGAAAAGACAGTCTAGATGCTGCTGACAGCTACCTGGCGCCCCATCTGAAGGGTGCCAGTATGAGAAATGAAAAGTTAGATGGGTTACTGGAACATGGTTGAATTGTATGCATTTATTTATTAGACGCTACATACAATTTTTTTCAAATGGGACTTGTATTGACATCTGATAATACCTTATACCTACTAATCTATAGTGTTCAGGAGCAGAAGGTATCTGTAATATATTTTTTGCTGTTTGCTATTGTACATATGCAATAATAAAAGATATTTACAAATGCAATTTTTTGTTAACTCCTGTCAAAACATTTTTTTTTTTTTTTTTTTTTTTTTTTTGGTTTTTCTCCGGTACCGGGAACCGAACTCACGACCTTGCGCTTGCCAGGCAGGCGCTTTTGCCGCTGAGCTAAATCCCCAGCCCCACAAAACATTTTTTAAAAATCTTTTAAGATATAGCTCCTGTCTTAGTTATTTTTCTCTTATTGCTGAGACAAAATACCCAGTGCCCAAAGTTAAAGGAGAAAAGGTTTGTTTAGCTCACAGTTTGTGGAGGTTTCAGTCCATAATCAGTTGGCTCTAAAGCAGGGTGGCACACGGCAGAGGGGCAACAGTTTATAGTGGCAGAAGACAGTAAAAGCAACAGACGCAAAAAGGAGACAGGCTTCTTTCTGCTCCTTTCATCTTATCCAAACTGCCGGGATTCAGGCAGTGCCAATCCAATCAGTGGATGGATTCAGCAATTACCCACCCTTAATCCCAGCATTACAAGAAGAATCAATTACACACTCTAGATTCACCCCCACTCTGAAAAAGTCCTATGATCACATAAGGCTTTGGGAGGACATCTAGATACAAACCATAACAGTTCATATGCCATAAAACACATCCAGCTAAAATATAAAAATTCAATGGTACATTCAGAGTTGTACAATCATCATCACAGTGTAAGTTTTAGAACATTTTTGTCAGCCCCTAAAAGCACTTTCTATCCATTTTCAGTTATTACATATTTCCCCTGGCTCTTGACAATCACTAGTCTAATTTTTGTCTCTGTGAATTTTTCTATCATGGAATGTATGGTTTGTGTCTAGATGTCCCCCCGAAGCTTCATGCAGCCAAGGAGCAGGCTTCTAGAGTTTATGGCTGACTTGTGGTCCAATGCTGGGATTATAGGTGTGAGTGCTACACCCGCCCTCAGGCGGATAGCCTGCATACAATATGAAGGAGGGAAAGAGACTTGCTCTGCTCCTCCCTTTTTGCTCTTGCTGCTTTTGCTGTTTTCCACTACCCTGAACCTTTGTCCTCTGCCATGTGCCATTCTTCCTTGGAGCCAGCTGATTATAGACTGAAACCTCCTTAACTATGAGCTAAATAAACCTTTCTTTCCTTAATTTTGGGTGTCAGGTATTTTGTCCCAGCAATGAAAGAAAAATAACCAAGACATGGACATTTCATGTGAAAAGAAGGGTATAATGCATGTTCTTTTGTATTTCCTGGCATCTGGTTTCTTTTACGTAGCATGTTTTCACAGTTCATGTAAGATGCTGCATGTGTTAACACTCCATCCTTCTTGTGGCTGAGTAATGTCCCCATGTATGGCTGCCCCGTATTTGTTGATCCTGCCATCCATGGATGGGCGTTTGCTTTGTTTTCGTATTTTGGCTATTGTGAAGAACACTGCTCTGAACACTTACGTTCAAGTGTGTTTTTGTGAATGTCGGTTTTCATTTCTCCTGGGCATGTATAATGAGGAATAGAATCGGTAGATATATCTTAACTATATATTTAACATTCTGAGAAAATACCAAGCTATTCTCCATTTTCCATTCCCACCAGCAATATATAAAGGTTCCAATTGTTTCACGTTCTTGCCAGTGCTTTTTATTATCTGTCTTTTTTTAATTATAGCTCTCCTAGTGGGTGTGAAGTGAAGTTTCATTGGAGTTTTGATTTACAATTCACTAATGGCAATGATCTTGAACATATTTTTCATCTCCTTAGCTGGCCAGTGGTGCATCTTAGAAGAAAAGGCTAGTTAGATGCTTTGTCTATTTTTTATATACTTAGTCTTTATTAACAAGTTTCTACATATGTGTGAGTGCAGCACATTTATCAAATCCATGATGTGCTGATATCTTCTGCCATTCTATGGGTATTCTTTTCACTTTATTGATGGTATTATTTTCAGCGCTAGATTATTTTTTGAGGGGTTAGGGGTTGGATCTAGAGCTTTCACACTGAACTAAATCCCCAGCCCTTTTAAAAATGTTTAATTTTGAGACAGGGTCTGCCTAAATTGTTATGTTACCCAGGCTGGGCTTGAACTTGCAATCTTATTGCCTCACCCTTCTAGAGTTTTGGAATTACAGGCTTGTGCCACCATGCCTGGATGAGAAATTTTTATGATCTTCAACTTACCTACTATTTCTTTCATCACTTGTCCTGTTTGTTGTCATAAATTAGTGTTTGCCTAACTCAAGGTCATGAAGGTCATTATGCCTATGTTTTCTTCTAAAATTTTATACTTTCAGCTTTTATATTTAGGTCCATCATGCATTTGGATTGAATTTGTGCTTAAGATGTGAAGAAGGCCCTGATTTCATTCTTTTGCATGTGGATATCCAGTTGTGTGGACCACTTGTTGAAGAGATTTTTACTTCTGCCACTGAGTCATCTTGGAATCCTTGTTGAAAATCAGTTATTATAATGTGAGAGTTTATTTCTGGATTTTCAAGTTCATCCTACCAGTCTACATATCTATCCTCATGCTAGTACCACACTATCTTGCTTACTGCATTTGTGTAAAAAATCTTAAAATGGGGGAAATTTGAGTCTCCCAACTTTGTTCTGTTTTCTAATTGTGTTATATATTCTGGGCCCCCTGCATTTCTATAATGAATTTTAGGATCACCTTGTCAATCCCTGGGAGGAAAGAGAATCAACTGGGACTGTGGTAGAGGTAAGACTGAATGTGTAGATAAATTTGGGTGAGTATCACCATCTTAACTATATCAACTTCCAATCCATGAACATGGGATGTTTTCCATTTATTGAAACTTTCTCTTTTTTCTTTTAACCATTTTCATAGTTTTGTAGAATCAAAACCAAACCCTTTCTATAAGGAAAAATACATATGTGAGCACGAGCCAGAATCTGCAGGATAAATAAAACAAAACTAAGCATCACTGGACTAGACCACTCACCTCTCCTTCCAGGGTCCGGTAAACAGCTACAGGTTCAGAGGGTCTCGTACACACGTTGTGATCTCCTCTGTGCTACCCACCCTGGAATCCTCTCCCTCTCTGAAATGCCCTGGCCCCGCGGGAACAAACCTTTTCCAGAGAGGGGCTATCAAAGCTCTTGATCAGGTTGTTTAGTTCTTTGCTCAGGCGCAGGCTCCAGTGGGTCCCCCTGGTCTTCTTGAGGGAGTTTCTCAGGAACTGGGGAGGGAGAAGACATTGGGAGGCAGGCCCGAGGGATGCCAGCACTGTCCTCAGCTAGGCTCTGGGCATGCCATGCAAGTTTGAGTAGTGCCTTGCCCTTTCTGGACCTCCTTCCCCCAGTCTCTAGACCATTCATTCCTTGCAGCCCCAATCGGTTGAAGCTCTGTGCGTCTTGAGCCTGGAGTGGGTGAGAGGGTGCTGCTGCTCTGCTCCTGCAGGCATTTGGCACTGTCAGTTCTGCCTTGCTGGTAGAGAGCTGTGGACTTGACACTTGCCAAGTCCTCTCTGACAGAAGGAGTCCGTGTCCCTTAGGGAACCCTAAGCTCCCCACAAGGCAATCCTACCAAATGCCTTCCCATGAACTTTCTTCTCACCCCCATTCAGGCCTCAGAAGGGCAGTCACCTGAATGAGCTTGTCCTCCCAGGCCTTCTGATTCCAAGTGAATTCAGTGTGCTCTGCAGGAACATACACATGCTCATGGGCTGCGCTCCTCTGCTGCTGCCCTCTGGGTCAGTCTCAGCCCGGCATCTGAGGCCCTCCCCATCACGTGTGGCATATCCCTCCCCACCTCCCCAAGCTGCTCAGCCGATGTCTAAGCCCAAAGGAGATTCTGCAGGTACACCAAGAGCATGCACTCCTGTTTGAGCCGTGACCAACAAGGATGGGCACCTCACCTTCCAGGTACTGGACCAGTAGAGGGATCTCCTGTTGCCACGTGCTGGCCAAGGAGGGCACAATGCTGTGGCTCAGCGTCCTCAGGAGGTTGAGCATGGCTACCCCACGACCTTCCCCTTTGTAGGGCGATGACATCAGCACCTGGAGGATATCAATGGGGCCGGGGCTGAGCACCCTACTTCCTGTCTCTGCCCTCACTGTAAAGGAGGGCAACTGGACAAAGTGAGCAGTTTTTAAACAGAGCCTGAGGATCTCCAAGATGGAGAAGATGCGGCAGAAAGGAAGGGAATGAGGTCAGATCTAGATTTTCTCCTCACCAAGCCTCAGTAGAGCATGGATGAATGTCCACAGGACAGAACCCACCCCCAGGGTAGCCAGGACCCAAGCGGTGTCCTGGGGATTCTCTGGGCAGAGGAATCTGGGAGCTGTCCCAGCTATGCCCAGCTCCTTTCTCTCAGTCTCCCTGGGAATGAGGAGCTCAGGGGAGATGTGAGATGGGACATGGTTTCACCAGGGCAGGGCACGCACAGGTTGTCAACTCACCAGGAGACGGGCCAGCAGCTTCTGAGGCGCAGGCAGGTCCACTGAGGAAGGAGATACCACCCCACTGAGGCTGCTTGTCCCTTCCCAGGACGTGCCCCATTTTTACCCTGAAAGATGTTTCCCCACTGTGATCCCATTGCCCCCTGAAGGGAAACTGAGTTGGCACAGGAGATTTTCCTATAAAGATTATCATTATCATTGGCTTATCCAAGGAAGAGGGGAGAATTGTGCTCATAGGCTGGGTTCAGAAGGTACTTTTCTCCCATGTTCATTTTGAAGAGGGAGCAAGACTTGCCATGACAATGTTTGTTTCCTATGATAAGCCTCAGTCTCTGTTAAACCAGCAGGAATTAGACACCCTGCTCCCACCCTGTCCTGTCTGTAGGCACTGGGAATCCATGGACCTGTGAAAAGCAAACCTTCAGCTCATGGGTGGAAAGGAAAAGGAAGGGTCAGGCCCCCTCAGAAGTCACAGATGTGGGAATAGGAAAAGACTCAGCCTCGGACTCAGGGGTGAGAGGGCCGTGAGGAAGAATTCAGGGGCCACATAGCTTTGCTCAGATCCAACTCAGAGCATCCTCTGTCCTTCACCATCTCTTTTCTTACAGGCTTCCTTTGCTCACCTCTGTCATCAGCCACGCCACTCCCTGCAAGCCCTGGCCCATGACAGCAGCCCCCTTGGGGTGAGAAGTAAGAGGGACAGTGGCAATGTATGGCAGTGTGCATAGTCACTGTTTTTTGAGAGGTTGGTGTTACCAGTGCCTACCTTAGGTGGACCAAGCGGACTTGGATGGATAACGATAGTTCCTCTAAGCTGTCTCAGAGAGGCTGGAACTGGAGAAAGGCTAAGCAGGAGGCCCCAGGGTGGGGTCGGGGACTAGACATGCCAGATGGGGACAAGAGCACATGAGGAGTGAGATACCAAGGGAAAGTCTGCAAGATGTTAGCACAGCCTCACATTTGTCTGGGACATTCTGAATGCTTGCTGGAGACAGGAACATTTGGTTGTGGGGCATAAGGGAAAGGATTATAAGGAGCTGGCCCTCGTGCCTGATTCCACTGTCTGGTACAGGGTGCTACCCACCACGCTTGCCCTTGCCAGCCACACCAGTCTCCGGGTCACTGCTGTGGAGCTGGCCCGTCGCCAGGTTCGTGAGGCTGATGCAGATGGGGGTCAAGGCCTCCATGCAGTCTGTCTCCATGATGTAGCTCAGCAGTCTCATCCAGAACTCCTGGCATTCAGGGGATGGGGAAGGGGCCCAGGATGAGCTTAGCGCAGCACATGGCTGTCTGAGGAGACTGGTCAGGCTCCATCCACAGTGTGCTTCCCATGGACTTCCCCAGAGCTGCCCCTGACCCACTGACTGGCAGGCTCAGCCTGGATCTGACGCTCTGCGGACCTCGATCTTGTCAGTGGCATCTAGGTGACCTCCACTCAGCTGGGCCCAACCCATCCATGCTAGCCTCTTACTAATCCTACACCCATTATATCCAGGGCCTTCCCCTCATCCCAAACCCCCCAGAGCTAAATGCTGGGCAGATGACCCAGCTGTGCCTGCTGGTTGTGATGGTCAGATATATATAGATAGATAGATATACATATAGATATATATATGTATCAAGGGTGAAGCTGCCCAGGCACTCAAACACTAATGGAGTGGTGTTATGTCACATAGCCATGATGACAGCTTTTCATCGCTGAAGGACACCACCCTTGATAACACAGGTAGGTCTCAGCCAGGCAAGTCCAGACCTTCTAAGCAGAAAACTGAGATTTGCTGAGGAAGAAGAAATTCTCCCCCAAGATGGCAGCCCCCACCCCTGCCTGGCCTCCAGCCTGCTGGCTCAGCCTGCACATTTCATACTGGGCAGCCCCTTGGTGGCGCTAGTCTATTTTCACATCTAGCCAACTAGATGAGTCTTCCGGCTGACACAGCTTCACAGAGCAGTCTCCAGCTGTGACTTCACTACCATCTCCACTCTCCTTGGAGGAGAGATCAGATCCCAGCCCCTCCAGGTTCCTTTCTACCCCACCCTAAACCTAGGAGTTGGGGGAATTCGTCCGCCACCAACTAACCAGTGCAGTGGCTTGAGCAGAACTAGTTATCAGAATGAGAATCTCTCAGCTCCTGCGTGCCCCCAGGGAAGCAGCACAGTGAATTAGAAAGGGGTTTTTTTTTGATCCTGGCTGGATTGTTTACCAGCTGAGAGGCTTTGAGCAAGTTAAGAAGTCCCTCTGAGCCTTGGTTTCTTCCTCTGCAAAATCAGGGTGATGAAATAGGAAAACCTCCCTCCCAATTACAAGAGATGGCCCTTGGGTTCAACTACCACAGTACCTGCTACATGTGGGCACTCCAAGACTATAGCTGCCATTATTATTTCTGCAATTAAAGTAAGCTGCCACTGGACAGAAAGTGTCTAGCCTGTGATCTGACTTTGTGGGTCATCATTCACTCTTCAATGCTTTCACAATCCATTTTTCCTATCTTATTGCTATGTCACATTTCACTGCAGTTGAAAGTTGACCATTTGTTTCTCCTATCACCTGTGAACTCCATGGGGTCATAGTGAGTCCCTGTACCATGTATCTTCACGTATTTCATATCGTAGGAACTTGCTGAATGTTTATAGTGTTTTCTTAAACACACTCACACATGCACACACACATACAGACATGCACATGCACAACTAAACTGAAAGGTCCTTAAAATAAAGGCAACATTTTTTCAGGACTCTCTAAGTCAAGTGAAACATATTGAGACCTACTGTGTACTGTGTGCCAGGCATACTCCTAGCATCTGGGAATACAGTGAAGGAGGACAAGTCTCACCAAGAACCTGGCTCTAGAATTGAGTTTTGAAGGGCAAGAGCTCAAACAAGGGAAGAGTCTCCCAGATGCCCAGGCAGTGAGAAGGGAACACAGGAAGGGCAGAATTCTGGGCATGCTCAGTTCCACTCTCTACTTGCAAGGTGCACACAGGATCCACGGCTCTGCTGTGTGGCCCACGGGGTGGGGAGAGAGTCACTCACATTGGTCATGCCACTGACAGAAGAAGTTATGATCCTCACGGTGTCCATGGTGACTTTGTGAACCATCTTCTCCTCCAAGTCCTTCTGATAAAAGTTCTCCCGGCGATTTTCCTGGAAGGCAGAACCCAGGAAGCCCCGCTGGGAGCCTGGCAGGGGACTGCTATGATATGGAGGACAGTCTCCCCACACCCCGGGGGCTCCATGCCCAGACACTGGGTCTCCAGCATGCTCTCCTGGGCAAGGGCTTCCTGCCGGTAAGACCGCACTTACCCTAACCTCCAGCTCACTCTGTCTCTGTACTTACAGCATGAGTGGCTATGTAGGGTTAGCATAGGAGGCATGATCCAAATACAGCGTGAATGTTTAAATCAAGAAAAACTTACGACAGCAAAAGACACACTGCAGTTAAGTCCCCTTAAAATACACCCTTGCCCTCCCAGTGCACTTATCCCATCTCTCTTGGCACTTCCTGAAGCAGTGCTGGAAGTCTTGTGAGTGTCTTTACAAGACATGATTTAAAAAAATTAGTAAATGCTGCCACCGAGTGCCATCCAACAGAAATGCAGGCTTGGGAAAGCCTCATAGCATGCCCGATCCAGCTTATTTACCAGTCCTGGCACCCTGTGACTTCTGGCTCTTCCCCAAAGTTAAAATGGCTGTGAAAAGTGAAATTTTTTTTGAATATTTTTATTTGAGGCAAGACTTCTAAAACTGCTGCAGAAAATGGCAGGGACAGAGGAGTAAGTCTGTTGAAAGCAAAGAGAAGTGTTTTGATGGAGATTTATGGTAATATGTCTTTAACTGTAATGCATTTTTTAAAAATGGAGACACTTGTTGAATTTTTGAGTCATCCTGTGTAGGTACACTGGGTAGTACACTTTGCTCAGCACCTTGGAGACTGTTTCTAAAGAGTGGCTGCTGTGTGGGGTGCCGTGGGGCTGCTCACCAGTCTGTAGGTGGACAGGGTCAGCTGCACAGACACGTACTTCAAGCCCCAGCCTTTGATCTTCTCCTGGTAGCCGGACTGAGCCAACTGGCCGATGATGCGGAGAATAGCTGCTCTCACCTAAAGGGGCATGGCTGAGGGCAGGCTGGGGACAGGAAACTCTGGGTGGGGGCTCAGCCCTACCCCGACTCCAGTGACGTGAGACACCTAGGAACCGGGGGTGCTCCGGGCTGAGAAAAGCCCCAAGTACTACCTGGCTACTTACCGCCTCCTCTGTCCACCACCCTTTGCCTCATCTGGGGTCCCTCTCTGCAGCGTGCCTTTCAGAGCCCCGTACCCCCATCTCCTGTCAGGCGCTGCCCTACTTTAGGGGCCCTCAAGGGGAAAACCAACCCTTTATCCATGTCTTACAGTGGGACTCACTGTGGGGGGGATGCACGGGGCCAGCCTCGCTCTCCTCTCCGCAGCTCTGTCCTGATTTCCTGTCCTAGCGCCTCACTTCCTCCCTGAATTCCTCACAGCTGCCCTTGCCACCCAAAGACCCCTTCTCTCCCTCTGCAGCCAGACCCCAAGCTATACTTTGTGCTGCCTGGGGCTTCTCTGGAGCCTGAGTCCCTCTGTCACTTTTGTCATATGCAGTAAAAAGCACTGCACAGGCCAGGCACGGTGGTGCAGGCCCGTAATCGTAGCACCCTGGGAAGCTGACACAGGAGGATCCCGAGTTCGAGCCCAGCCTGGGCCACTCAGTAACATAGGGAGATCCTATCTCAAAACAAAAAATATAAAACGGCTGGGGATGTAGCACCGTGCTAAGGCCCTTGTTTCAGCCCAAAGTACTACAAAACAAAGAAAAGGCCCACACAGTGTGGCCTGGCCAGTCTCCTGGCCTCTCCCGCAGCCGGATGGTGTTTGAGGCTCCCCACTAGCAGACCCCAGGTCCTTGATGGAAGGAGGGTTCCGAGCAGAACCACAGAGGCTACTGGGCCGTGTGGGAAGCCAGGTGCCTCGCAGAGCCGCACATCACACACTTTAGATCCCCGCCCTCTTACCTTGGACCGGGTATCAGAGAGGGAGTTCTTGACCACCCGGATGGCCAGGCCGATGGTCCTGATATTCATTCTGGGCCCTGGAAAAGGAAGGCAGGCCTGGAGGGAGGTGACTCAGCGAGACATCAAGTGGCTGGGCCCTGTCACTTCACAGTTAGTCCCCTCCAACACCTTCAACACTTAGGGCCACTTTCTTATGGCACTCTGCTCTGGGTTCCCCAGACACACCCTCCCCTTCCAGTCCCTACAGCAGCAGTGCCTTCTGCTAGGGCCTGTGGGAGGCATGGACACTGTTTTACACCTTGTCCCCTGGCCGCTACCTAGGGAGGGCCTCATTTGACCCCGATGCTGTCCGCTAGAGCTCTGCACAAGGTCCCTGTAGCCAAGCACCCTGCTCGGAGCACACCAGGTTGCAAGCTCAGCTGTCAGAAGTGTGGGCCAGGAGCCAGGCAGGCCAGGTTCAGATCCCGCACTTGGCCAAATGACCTCAGGTGAATCAGAAGCCCTCTGTGCCTTTGCTTCCTCCTCTGTGAGCTGTGAATGATAATAGCGCCTCCCTCACCAAGCTGCTGTAAGCTGAATGAGTCAGCATGGTGCCTGGCACACCACAGGGCCATGTGTGGAGGAGGAGGGCTCAGGGAGGGAGGAAAGGGCCCTGAGAAAGTCCCAGAGAGGTCTAGTATTGCTGTATCTAGACCCCTTCAAAACCTCATGCACTCATGGGTGGGGGTTGTCAGAGGTGGCTGCATCTGGAGTGTGTGAATATGGAGTACGAGTGTATGATAACTGGCTAGGTCCACTGATTGGATTAGCATGGTTCTGGATGTAGCCTGAATGGATTCATACCCTGGCTGTGGTGTTCAACCAAAACTGTTCAATCAACACTTTTGAAGCCTAGGTAGAAAAGAAAGGGAAAGGGAGGCAGCTTTTGCTGCTGCTTTTTGCCTACCCTGCCATGGACTGTTTCTCCTCTACAATGCCCCTCTGCCATGTAGTCCTGCCTTGGAGCCAGGCAACTATGGACTGAAACCTCTGCAGACTATGAGCCACAAATAAACCTTTCCTCTTTTAACTTGAGGTGTTTGGTATTTGGCTTAGCAATGGGAAAGTAAGGGTGCTCAGGTTAAGGCTGCATTTGAGACTAGGTGTCACTGAGTCAATTCTGGAGCAGGGAAGAGAGCCAGTAGTCCCAGTACTCTGGGAGGCTGAGGCAGGAGGATTGGCAAATTCAACCCCAGCTTAGGCAACTTAGCAACGTAGTAAGACCTTGCCTCAAAATAAAGGGCTGGGGATGTAGCTCAGTGCAAAGGACCAGGTTCTAGCCATAGTATCACAAAAAAAAAAAAAAAAAGGAAATGAGGACAGGTGGGGCAGTGGCAGGTAATCAGGCATGAAGGCAGAATGAATTTTGAGATTGCATCTCTGAGATGAAAACTTTATTTCTGGTTATAACTGCAAAATTAAAATAAAAGACAACCACTTGTAATAAAGTATGTGTGTCCTTCTAAAGTAGTTTACGTGTACATGAACCTGGATTTTCTTCATGTAACAGAGGTTTATAAACATTCCCACACTATAATTTTTGCTTAATATGGACAGAGCAGCTTTTCCATGTGAAAGTATAGATGGACTATGCCCTTTCTAATGGTTGCATAATATTCATTATGCCAATAGCTATTATTTATCCCCACAGAAAGCATTTAGGCTGTTTCTCATGATTTTCTTGTAGCACAATGCTTTAAGGAGTATCTCTGTCCAATTATTCTGGACAATTGCTTCCTTTTCACAATTGACAAAAGTTGGAATATTGAGTCCAAAGTCTTGTCCCTATTTAATTAAGCACCTAGAATCGTTTATCAATTTAAATCCCTGTCGATGAAGTATAAGGGGCTGGTTTCTTTTTTTCTCTAGACGAGGGATAAACCAAGAATAGTGCATCAGCCAAATCCGGCCCAGAGCCTGTTTTTGTAAATAAAGTTTTATTGAAACATAGTCACCTTCAGCAGCCTATTGGTGTTCTTTCTGTACAATGGCAGAGTTGAGCAATTATTGTAAAAATGTACCTCCCATAAAGACCAACACATCTTTACTATCGGTCTTTTGCAAAAGAAAGGCTAAGCCAACTCTAGCTGTAATCTTTATCATCTCCCGCCATTGGATAGATAAAAAGGATCTTATTGTTATTTAAATTTGAATTTCCTTAAGAAGAAAAGATTCATGACAAACGTCTCTCATGTGTAAGTGCCCAATTTGTACACTGCAGAAAGCCTGTAGCTTTAAGGCTGAGCCAGAGCCCCTCAGGCGCTTCTGTCACGTGCCTGCAGAGTTGCATGCTACCACCAGAGGGCACCTTGTTTGAATTCACACGGGTGCTATATGAGCTAGTGTCTCCGTTAGAACGACGGCCTCCTGTTGATACCAAGGCCGGGTTTTGGAGTTTGGGTTTGGAGATTAGAGTCAGAGGGTGAGGGTGAGAATCAGTCCGTGGGACTCTGGGGTTTTGCCTACATGGTCTGGTAGGCCTTCGATCTAGCTTTGCTTTCCCTGTAGAGGTTAGTAGCAGGTTCAGCTGCAGCAGGGTGGGGCGGGGAGGGTGGGCCTTAACCCAGTGCTGGTTAAGTTCAAGGTTAGGAAATCTGAAGGAGCCCGGAGACCTTGTTCCCTTGGCTCGCCTAGCAGTGCTAATTATCTAAGAGGGAAGGGCAGCGGCTGAGGTGAAAGGGGACCCCGTCCTTGCCCACCCCGCGCGCCCCACGCTTGCTCACCGTCTGCGCTCACCAAAGCCTTGATCAGGGACAGCGTGGCCACGCAGGTGGCCTCCTTGCCTGTCTCCATCTGGCCCAAGAAGAACTTCATCAGCTCCTTGGGGTAGGAGCGAGCTGTAGGTGAAGGAGTGCTGTGGTCAACCTCGTGGCCAGGGGTTTGTGGCAGAGCTAGGGGCAGGCGGGGGACACCCCACAGACCCTCAGATCCTCACCCAGGGCCATGAAACACTGCACGGTCTCCGCCAGGTTCTGGTTGTTGTACTGGTGCAGAGCTGGGCCTTTGCTACACACCTGTGCAGGGAGAGGTGAGGAGGCTGGAGGGGGCGGTCACAGGGGGACAGAGGCACAGGGACAGCCCAGCCCAGCCCAGCTGTGTCTGCATCCCAAGGAGGCAGACGGCACGCCAGTGAGTTAGAGACCAGGCCACCTCCCGCAGCCCACCCTGCTCATGCCCTCCACAGCTGAGCTCGCCGCCCCACCTGAGCGTGCAGTTCCATGAACATGGGATGGAGCTGCATTTGGGGGATGGGGGTGTTGGTGGTGACTGATGCTTCCAGAATCTGTCTCAAGACCTGCAAGGGATGGACTCCTGGTTGCAAGTGACCTCCTACCAACTCAAGGTCAGGCACCAGGGCTTTGCAGCCTCACAGTGTCTGCAGCCCCTGGCCTTGGCCAGACCTGCTGACCTGACCCTGAATCCCACCAAGCCCAAGTGGGCCCCAAGCTCAGTGAACCTCCGGAGGGGCCGTGCTGGGTCACTGAGCACAGCATTCAAGACCCTTCCCACCCCTCACTCCTAGGATGTACTTGGACATGTATCCCACTTTTTAGCCAGAATTTACAGGTGGTTCCCTAAGTCTCTTACATCTGTTCTTCGCTTTTATACCCCAGGTCAGTGCCTTGCTCATGGGTGAGTGACCCCTTTACAATGTAGAGCAGCCCAGGCCACACAACCCACTGGAGCCCTGCAGCGTCTCGCCTCACACAGCCTAAGGCAGTCCTGTCCTCCTGATTCATGTCTACCTGGAACTCAGAATGCGACCTCATTAGGAAATAGGGTCTGTATAGATGTAATTAGTCAAGACCCTGTGGTCTCAGTTATAGCAGCTGTAAGATATTAATCCAAAGGCCACCACCTCCCTGCAGCCTCTGAGGCCTTTGGGGATGTGATCCCTTCCCCATGAATGACAGAGTTCTTCTCCCACAAACCCTGCAAGTTCCGGATGTCGGGGCAGATGTTGGGTCTGCTGCGTCCCTACCTTCCCCCACCAGCTGACACCGCAGGTCTCCAGAGCCTCCCACGCAGGGTGTGGCATCCACCCTCACCTGTGAGATGAAGCACGGCTCCAGGCTGCTCTGGTACTGGGCCAGCACCAGGGGGATGTAGTCATACACCTGCTCGCGCAGATTATCGTCGGGCAGGAGGAGGCTCAGGATGGGCTTCAGGGACTTGAAGACCGCCACCTTCACCTGACACAGGAAATGGGGCCGCAGCAGCCCGAGCCGGGTCAGGGACCTCAGCCCCATCCACAGAACCCAAGGACACATCACAGATGGAGCCGTGGAGGGGGAGTCAAGACCTCACCCTGAAGTCTGCAGATGGCGCAATGGGTCGAGCCCCACCTCCAAGCCAGGGGACCTCCTTATGCCTCAGTTTCCTCATTTGTGAACTAGTACTACATCGAGGAGTTGGTGTGGAACTGGCTCCCAGACGCGAGCCGCCCAGAGATCGCCCTGCCCGTCACAGCACCGTCAGAAGTGTGGCGATCTGCACCTCACAGCGGGGGCTGTATCAGACCTGGCTCACAAGGCAAGTCCCGTGGGTCCCCAGGTGCCACCCATCAGGCCTTGGGCCCTCTGAGGTCCCTGAGCATCTCCAGCCCCATCGCCCAGGGAGCTCCAGAGGGTGCATCTCACCTCGGGGCTGGGATGTCTTAGCCACACGGTCACCATGAAGCGGTACACGGGGAACAGCTTCGTAGCAAACTGCTCCTCGGTCATCACGGGGTATGTGCTGTCCTCCAGGTGCCTCAGATAAAACTGCACCGTCTCACAGAAGACCTCTATGGCTACAGAGCAGGGGGAGGCAGGTGGGGCCGGGAGCCGGAAGCAGAACCGGAACATCCGGCCCACGTTTTTCGCGCTCTGCTCTTTCACCCACTGGGCCCCCGGTACACCTGTGTGCACGTGAGAGGGGAGCTCACAGATGTGCCCTGGAGGACACAGGGTCAAAGGCAGGGCCTGGAGTATGACTTCCCACCCCAACCTGGGGTTCCAGTGCACAAGGCAGCAAACACACTTGGCCCACTTTCTCGGGCATCAGGGTTTCTCGGCCTACCAAGGTGCAAAGTCGTGCAGGGGATGGGGGCACACCCGTGATCTCAGCACTCGGAGAGCCTAGCTCAGGCAATTAGCGACTTAGCCAGTTCCTGGCTCAAAATAAAAATTAGAGAAAAAATAAAAATAGAAAAGGACTAGGGCTACGACTCAGTGTGAAGACTCTGGGTTCAGTCCCCAGGACTGAAAAGAAAAATGTGAAGTACTCAAATCTGGGGGTGAGTTCATCAGACTTGGACAGCATCAGAGACTTGCCCACCGCAAAGAGAGACGCTTGTCCTCATCTCTCCCTCCTGTGAATTCCACGGCTCTTCTCTGCTCTCCTGAAATGCTTAGCTTCGGAGGAAGCCCCTCGGACTCACAGTGCTGGCTTTCTCCCCCTGAGCCAGGATCTTCGAGCCACCCACATGACCCCGCCACAGCTCCCAAGAGGCAGTCAGAGGCCAAACAAAGCAGGAATCTGAGCTCATGTTCAGGAACGAATACACAACACACCTCTCGTTCAACAACCCCACCACCCTGCCTCCCCTCCTGCACCCTGATCCGGCCCGACGTGCAGGCCCATGGGGTCACGCACCACCACAGATCACCTGGCGCATCTTGGCTTCCTCAACAAGTCTCAGCATCGTGAACACTGTAGCCAGCGTGATGCCCATGTATGGCATGAACTCAAATACTGTGGGGTGGGGAAGAAGTCACAGAGCACCTTCAGGGCGAAGGCAGGTGAGCCAGGACAGCCACAGAGGACAAGCCCTCTACCCACCGCCTCCAGACCTCTGACAGCCCGGAGCTGGGGAGCACTGCCCCCTGGCTAGGGTCACCGGAAGTAGGGTAGGAGCCAGTCAAGGCTGGCAAGCATGAGCCCGAAGCGGGTGAAGGGGAAAGGATGGAGAGAGAAGAGGAGAGACGCAGGAGCTTGCACGGGGCGCCAGAGGGAGTCTGGGGAAGAGGGAGCCGCCCCGGGAAGGGGCTGGCAGGTCGCGAAGAGAGAGAAGGCTTTAGACCGGTGGTGGAAGAGAGCCAGGAGGAAGTGGAGCTGGAGGGAAGAGAAACGGGGAAAGACCCACCCTCTGGCAGGGGCCGCCCCTCTCCAAGCCTGGCACGCTCGCTCTTCAGGCCTGATTGCCATGAAACAACATGGACTTCAGTCATAAAATAATACAGTCTGCCTGGCTGGCTGGGTCCCTCTCTCCGGGCTCTCTGGTGGCAGCGTCCCAGGCCTGGATCCCCCCAGCTGCAACCCTTTTCTCTTTCGGTCCCAGCCGGGCCTCTACTCCAGCACACAGGGAGACTGTCCCCTGTCCCTCTTCTCCAGCCTCATCTTGCTGGTGCCCTTGGCAGAACCGCGCACAGTAGGCACCTTGCTTCCTGAGTGGCACGGCATCCTGGTTTATAGTGTCTGACGACACTGCCATCAGAGTGATCTGGATTCACCGGAGACCACATTTCCAAGTTTGAATTCGGATTTTTCTCCCAGGCCAGTGATTTGCATAAGATACTCTGTGGCGGTGCCAGGCAGCCCAGGCAGAGCCACGGCTCCTGCAACCCTGACCACGGCCAAGGACAGGGGCCAGGGCCCTGCAGTACCGTGCAATGGGAGCTGCAACGGAGTCTGTATTTTAAATGCCGTATTCCCAACCCATGACAACTCCGTCGAGCCAGGGCCCCATCCTAAGTGAAAAGCACCAGTCCTTCCTCCTCCGGCCTCAGGACACCACCCTGCCTCTCTCTCCTAAGACTACTCCAAGTTGGGCCCCCATCTCCTCTACTTCCTCCCCCAGGTGTCACTGGCCTGAACACCCCTGCGGTCTGAGACTGCCCAGTAAAGCCCATATCCTCTGAGCTCTGCTTACTTACCGCCCATCGGGCCTCTCTGCTGGACATCTCATCAAACCAGATTGTGCATTGGAGCCCTCTGGCTCTCTCCCAGCACTCCTGTTTCAGGAAAGCCCACCACGCCCCCAGCCACTCGCTTCCTCTGCACCTTCCTCCACATGTGCTTCACCAGCCAGGCCCACCTCACAGCTGTTCACTGTGCACCAGCCTCCCTCCCATCACCCATCATGGCTCCAATATGGCCATCTCACCAAGGGCCCTGCAGACCTGACAGTCTCCCCATACCCTGAGCTCAGGCTGTTCTCTTTATCCTCATCATCTCACACTATAAACATGGGGCTTCTTATCTACTCGTTTATGGCCCCTTCTGAGCACAGGGGCCGTGCTGTGGCCCAGGGTCCCTCACAAGGTCCGCACGGAGCAGGAGCTCAGCTCAGGGTTGTGGAATGAAAGGAGAGAGAGGGAGAGAGATTAGAAATAAAAAGAAAACTGGAGGTGGGAAGGCAGAAAACAACATAAGCAGAGGAGACAGAGAGGGGAAGAGGAGGGGAGGAGTGAGAGAGAGAAAATAAAGAGACCAAAGTGAGAGGCAAAAACAGAATTGGGACAGCGGCGACAGACAGAGACATATGGAGATGAAAGGGAGGAAGGAGAGACAGAAGCAGAAAGGGAAGGTAGAGACAGGCAGAGACAGAGTGAGATGGAGAACGGGACAGCGCCAAGCTGAACTGACGGGGCAGAAGCCGGGGTGGGGACCTCGAAGCCCTACCGTTGCCATTGGCCAGCTTGGCCAAGGTGACAATGACAAATTCATCACAGAGGTTGAGGGGCTTGAGGTGGTGCTGCAGCTCATACATGACCAAGTTGAAGTGGTTTCGGGACAGAGCCACCAGGGTGTCACTGGCCACCTCTGCCGTCGTGTAGCCCTCCGCCTGCAGGGGCGTGTGTGGTGCCACCATCAACTTGGCCTCCATAACCTCCCCTAACCCCACGCTGGCTCCACCCCCTTGACTTCCTTGGACTCAGCAGGGGAGGTGAGCATGCAAGGGTGTTGGGCTTCCCAGGCCCTCCAGCAGCCCAGCTCCCAGACTGACAAAGGGAGGGCATGACGGAGCCTGGGCCCCGCTACCTCCGAGTGCTCCCTCATCTCCTTGGAGGCGACGGTGACCAGCCTCTGCACGCACTGCTCCTCCAGCTCCCCCACCTGCTGGATGATTTCCTGGAGAATGTTGTAAATGGTGACCTTGCGCTGAGTGGAAATCTGGGAAACAAATACGGAGGGTGAGAAGACTGTCGGCTGGGCCGCAGGGTCTGGGATAGACCTCCCCAGCACCGTAAGTCTTCTTCCCAACCTCCCCTTCCTGTCTAGCAAAGGTGACCACCATTCTCCACCCACCACATCTTAGATGTAGACTTCTCTATCTTCATTTCCTCCTCTGTCCCTCCCATGCCTCCTACTGGCCCTATTGATGTGACTTGCAAATCAATCTTCTCTTTCCTGTTTCAGTTGGTGTGAAGCAAGGTAGGTGTCAGACGGATCACACACACAGTCCTTGACACCAATCATCTTGAAAGCACAGGAAAGCAGACTTGCCCTGCCCTTTACCCTGGGAAGGGAGTGTCTCAGACCAGGAATCCTGTCTCTTTTTCTCTTTTGATTCTACATGGGCAGTACTTACCACCATTTAAAGTGACCTGGCTTACAGTCAAGGTGTACAGACAGGTTATGCACCCGAGACTGTACCTGGATAGTGCCGTCTGCATATGGCTCTGACTTGCTCAGGTGTGACAAGCCACTCTTAAGGAAGAGAGAGTCTATGCGCAAGTACTGCTGCTGCCTGCCAAGCCCTCAGGGGAAACGGTAGGAGGTCCAGAAACCTTGGCAGATGTGGGGACCCCAGAAAGAGGAATTCACTCCAGTTTACAAGTTCTGCTGGCAAAATCCACTACAGAAATCTTAGTTTTGGTTAACTAGTAGTGGGACAGCAAATAATAAATGATGGTAAGATTTGGTCAGAGATTCCTTTTGGTAACTCCCAGACAGAAGTTAATTCTGCAGCCTTAGTAGCTACTCTGTGTTGCATGGCTCTAGACCAGTGTTTCTCAGCCTTTATTGTGATTTTATTGTTGCTTTCCAAGGAGACTTTGTAGACATTTTCCCCAATTTCTCCCCCAATTAAATTTTAGTAGCACAATTATACTGTACATGTGCTTGTATGCATATCTGTGTTTTACACACTAAGAAGTACAATTTTCTTCCTTCCTCTTGAGGGCAATAACACTTCATTGAGAATGCATGCTCTAGGTTGCCAAAGCACATTTAAGAAGGCCTAAATGCTTAATTAACACTCTGACTGCACCTTACATAAATAGCTAGGCAAGTTACAAGACCAGATCTTTTATGATCAAGGTCAATCTTCAATGAACAGTTTCATAATACCCAAGAAATAGAGTTGAGCTAGATGCCAATCAGCAGATGAATGCATAAGGAAATATGGTCTGTATATGAAATAGAATATTATTTAGGCATAAAAGGATGAAATCCTATTTGTGACCACATATCCGGTTAATAATATCCCTAAATTATTGCAGGCTGATCAGGTCTGCGATCTCCTGAACAAGTGTATGGTGAAGGCTAAATAAAAAGAGGCAAATGGAATGATTTCAGGACTCCAGGAGTATCAAAGCCCTTTCACAGAATTTAAGATTCTTTCAGGGCTAAGACTAAGACCTTCTCTGGGTGGCCCATGTTTACTTAGCTATCAGAAGAAGGGAGGGGAGGACTCAAGAAGGGAGGAACCATTCAAGGACTTCTCCAAGTCAGGTATGAAATTAATCCTCCCAGGAGTGAGATGCCTGAGGCTACAGTCTTTATCTAGTTGAGGTTGGATCCAGCTGTCCTTAGCTATGATCTTGTCTTATCCTTTGAGGTTTTCCAACGTCATCAGCCATTACAGGCCTCAGTAGGGATAAATGACTCACAGAGGTTCACTTACTATGAGTCCATCACCTATCTCCAGACAAGGAGCCTAGGCCTTGAACATATTCACAAGTAAACATGAAAAGCCCATTGGTTAATTTAAGTCCTGCTGAGGGCTGCTTCATAGTGGTCTCCATCAATCACATAGATGGGCCAGGTGGACATTGCCCTAAGTGAAGTAACTCAGGCACAGAAAGGCAGATACTGCATGATCTCAATCACATGTGGAAGCTAAGAGCTGCTTTCTGAGAAGTTAAGAGTCAAATGGTGGCTACCAGATCTCAAGAGAAGAGTAAGAAAAGAGGTGGAGGAGGGGCTGGTCAAGGGTGCAAAGGTAGAGCTCAAGAGGAGGACAATGTCCTGGTGCTCTTGTGCACAGGAGGGTGGATATAGCTAGCAATAATGCATTGTATAGCTCAAAAGAACTGTATGAGAGGATTTTGAATGTGCTCATCTTAAAGAAATGATAACTTTAAGGTGATGAATATGCTAATTAGTCAATTTGATTATTGTACAATGTATACAGAAATTGGAACATCATATTTTACCCTGGAAATATGTACAATTATGTGTTAATCAGAAGAAGAAAAAGAAAAAAGGAAGGATGAAAGAAAGCAGGAAAGAAGAGTGAGGAGGAAGAAAGGGAGGGAGAGGGAAGGAAGGAGGAGGAAGGGAAGGAAATAAATGAGGAAGTGTTTTTAGAGAATACTTATGATCACAAGAGAAAAGGTATGAAAAGCTTGGAAAGTGGCAAAAGTGATCACTGGGTGGTCTTTCAGAAAGTGTTTGGTACTGCGTGGCAGGTGCTCTGGAACTCTCAGGCTCTGTAAGGGTCTGTGTCTTTGCCTGGTTTTGATTGCCTAGCCTATTTTACAATTTTATAAGGATAGAAGTCAAACTGTAGAAAAATTCTAAACATTCCTAGCAGTGAAAATGATTCCCATTCAGGAGAATGCAAATGGATTTGTCCAGTAAAGAATATATATCTGTATAGGTCAAATTCTCATTTGTACAGCTTTTAACGTTTTACTGGTTCTTTGCTAATTAAGGAATGAATAAAAAATCTTTGATGCATATTAATTTTTAAAAACATGCCTACTTGTCTGCTGTCTGTTTATTGCCACTAATCTCTGCTTGAAGCCTAGGTATTAATCATTTATTATTTTCCGTAGTTTCTGAATCTTTGATTCTTGGGAACTACTGATCCTGGACAGACTGCCTTCCCAGGGTGAACCAACTCTTAGAGACAGTACAGAAGTTGCCCATGTGCATGCTTTTCCAATGCAAAAGCAAAACAAAAACAAACAGGACTGAAATGTGCTCTCGCAAAATACATATGCTGCAGCCCAACCTCAAGTTGCATGATACTTGGAAATGGACCTTTGGGAAGTAACTGGGATTAAATGAGGTCATAAGAGTGTGGCCTTAATCCAATGGGATTGATGTCCTCATAAAGGAGGTGCAGGCAGAAGAGAGTTGTCTGTCTCTCTGCGCCTGCACAGAGGAAAAGCCTTGTGAGGACAGTGAACGTCCAGCTGTCAGCAAGCTAAAGTGCCCTCTGCAAAATCCAAATCTGTTGGCACCTTCACTGTGGAATTCTGGCTCCAGAATTGTGAGAAAATACGTTCCTGTTGTTTAATCCACAGGGTCTGCGGTACTGTTAGAGCAACCTGAAAAGACCGAGACATCAACCAGTCCAGAGCCCACAGTACATCCAAGTGACTCCCAGTACAAGGGAGTTTTTAATGTGAATGCCCAAGGCCCACTGGGGGAAGCACCGCCCAGTGTAGCCCATCTCTGCATCCAGCCATCTGCCCTAGTCTGTGATGGTTGTGTGTGCTGGGCAGTGGGCGGATGTACTCGCAGCCAAAGCTGCTGAGCTCTGAGGAGGGTGCTGCCTAGGGTGAGGTGGTCCTACCTCCGGCACCTGCAGGCAGTGGAGGAGAGCGTTCATCACTGTAGAAGGCTCCGAGGTGGCTTTATCTGTGATTATCACTGAGGCCAGTGTCTTCCGCATGTCTGGCCCTGCCCCATCCACGTCCAACTTTGCAGACTCATTGTCCATGATGTTCAGGAGGTTGGTGACTTGTTGGAAGGTACCTGAAATAAAGATGACACAGGTTACACTCACAGGACGTGCCCCTGGCCTCCCCTACACCGGCATGGCTCCAGCTTCCCTTGTGTGGATGGAGAAACTGAGACCTAGACTGGGACTGACTGCCTTCAAGGAGGGAGTGCTGAGGAGGGGCCGGGATGCAGGCATGTGGTAACTTCCTTACCATCTGATTCAGGAGGTCGCAGGTCCTCTGTTTCCTCCAACGCATCTGCACTCAAGTCTGTCGCTACTTCTGCCATCTCCTCTTCAAGCTCTCCAGAGACAGGTGAGATTTGTAAAATACTCAGTGTGGCCACACAGCAAGGTGACCCCCCACTGATTCACGTTGTTGTTTAAACCCTTCCCCTAGAGTATGGGCAGCACCTGTGACTTGATTCTAACCAGAAGAATAAGGAAAAAGTGACAACGTGTCCCATCTTGACTGGATAACATTATATGGCAACATCTGTGGGAAGTCCCTCCCTTGAGTAGGTGACACTGTATGGCAAAATTGATGGGAAGTCACTCCTATGATTATATTATTAATTAAGACTCTGTCTTAGCAGACTGGGGACAGACATTAAAAACAACCAAGATACAAATGCCCATGAAGGGGCCATGGGGTGAGGAGTTGGGGACCTCTGCTGTAAAACCATTAAGAACTCAATTCTGCCAACAACCACATGGGCTTAGAAGAGGACCCTGAGCTCCAGAAAGGAATGTGGCCCAGCTGAGACCTCGACTTCAACCTCTAAGACCCTGAGCAAAGGACTGAGCTGACCTACATCCAGACTGCCAGCCCTCAGAAACTGTGAGGGGATGACTGGGAGCCCTTTGTAAGCCCCTGGGTTAGTGGCCGTCTGTTACACAGCAAAAGAAGATGAATGCAAGAGCCCATCTCTCTTTTCTAGACACTGAAAGATCAGGACTAATGAAGCCGCTCTCTCCCTCCTCACAAGGGCTCTCTGAGCATCCATGCCTTCTCAAAGGGTGACAAACACCAGCACAGATATCAAGATGAAAGCAACAGCTCTAGGACCCCTTCTCTTCCTGTCCCAAGTTTCTCTATCCTTAAGGTCCAGGGCCTTTCACCATCCTGCACTTTTCCCTTCTTGGGAATCCTTAAAGACTTACTTTGGGACCAAAATACTGACCTTTCTTCAGAGGTCTCCTCTGGATGGAACAAGAATACAGCACAAGAGAAAGCTCTGTCCTTTGCCTAATACACATCGAAGGAGATCTGAGCACTGGCAGGACCAGTTGTCCAAGTGAGATAGTTGGGCTTCTCTGCTGTTATTCTCATGAGGAGCAGGTCTTCTGGCAGGGTGGGAGAGTTTCATTAGAATCACCACCGTTAGGTCCCAGGCCTTTGGAACTTTGAGATCCAACTGCCTCCCTGAGTCTCTATCAACCAGGGCTTCAGAGTACACAGGGCCCTGGGATAAAACTCCACATCATGTTGTCATTAAACTTGTCTGTTATCATATGTGTGCTACATATTGTGGCCTGTTTGTGGCCTGTTTGTGAGGAGTGTGGTGATTCACAACCACAACCCAGGGGGATGGAGCTCGAGATGGGGAGGTGAGGTCAGTTTGGAGGAGAAGGGGATGGCAGAGAGGTTGGAGGGAAAGATCTCTCCTTGCCAAAGATTGGATATGTGTGGTATGGGGGACGCTTAGAAGATAAGAAAGATAAGAAAGCACAAGGACAGGCAGGAGAGCAGTACCCTTGCCTCCTTAAACCAAAAATGGGGTCCAAAGTATTTCCCTATCACTTGCAGCTAAGACAGAAGGTCTGGATCAGTAGTTTGCAGGATGAAATAGCATTTGAGGAAACTTTCTGAGCATTACAGGTCAATAAATTGAGAGCCTGAGCCACGTCAGTCCAAGGCTCCTTCAGTAGAACTCCCATTTAAAACTTGCCCATCCTGCAAAGGTAGAGTTCTTCAGCCTCTGCCTGGTCACCTCTAACACCAGGGAACTCATTCCCCTTAGTAGAAGCCCATTCATGGACTTTGGGTAGCTAGAAAATGAACTTCCTGTCCAAATCTTTCCCACTAAAGTCCCACATTATTCCTAGTTCTGCCCTTGGAGACTCCATTGGTCAATACAGATTAGACACAGTAAGACAATTACCATGTGCCACTCTTCTCACAGCCTTTCTGCACTGCCATCTCCCACTCCCCACTGGGCCTTCTTATGTCTTTCAGGGACTGCTCAAGTAGCATGGTTGTAGTTCAGAAGAATTCCACATAGACTCACTACATGCCTACTATGTGCAGCTAGTCATGGCTCTCCATGTCTGTGGGGCATACAGTGTGGGTTAGGCACATCTGTGTCCTCTGTGGGTCTTTCAATTTGACACATGAAAGACCATGGATTTAAAATCAGAAATGTATGTGTCAGTTAGCAATTGCTGTGTAACAAATCACTCCCAGACTTCATGACTGAAAACAAGCAGTTATTATTGTCCATTAGTGCATGGGTTAGCAGTTTGTGGTTCTGCTGACCGGGGCCATATTCAGTCAAGCACAGCAGGAGTCACTCATGTGCCTATAGTCAACCAGCTGAGGGCTGGCTGTTAGCAAGCTGTTCACTGAAGTGACAAGGTGATTGAGGTTCCTGACAGCAGGATTCCAAGAGAGTGCATAGACACCCGAGGGCTTCCTAGGGCCTCAACTCAGAACCGGCATTCATCACTTGCTCCTGCTATTGGTCAAGGCTATCACAAGCCAACCAGGGCTCCAAAGGTTGGGAAATTGGTGCAGCCTCCTGAAGAGCAGAGCAGCAAAATCCCATGGGGAAGGATGTGGTTACCTGAGGTGTGGAGAAAGGGACCATTTTTATAAACCGCAGGCAGAGAGAGAGTATAATAAAAGCCACAGCAAAAAGTTCAATATCTTTGACCATGCTATCTAGAGAAAACACTAGGGTAGTAAGATTAAAGAAAACATGGGCTCTTACTGGTTTTCAAAAATGAAAATGCCCTTATTTTTCTCTGGTTATGACAGTCATGTTGGATGCACAAGCAAGCCATTCACAAATCTTTTAGGTGGCACTATTCTATTGAGCTCCCCACTTCTGCTTTTGTGGGAGATAACTGGGGAATAAGTAGGTACTGTATTTGTAGACTCCTGTGAGTTTAAATGCATAAGCTAAATAAACCTTCTCCTTTTCTGCATTAGTTGCCTCAGCTATTCCAATGTGGCAATGTGAAGCTAACTAAAGTTATACCTACAGATGTGGGGGAGCCTTTAGAAATAGTTAAGGTGAAAAGGTTGGGTGAGTTTGGAGGACCTGGCAGGGAAGCTGAAAGTATTGTCAGCAGAGCATTATGGGTGACTCTGGCCAGGGCTCAGATGACCAGAATACTAGTAGAAATGTGGACAGGAAGGCTATTGTCCACCCATTTGGGGGGCCCAAGGGAGATTTCCACAGATGAGTTCCCAAGGTTAAAGAACACACATGCGCAAGATATCAGCAACAGCAGGCAGCATGGAGCAGAGCAGAGCACAAGAGTGCAAGAGTGCAAAATCAAGAGCCAGAGCAGGAGCCACCTGTGTCTTTAATGTATAATTCTTAAACAGGTGTTATACCATCTTTACATTCTTACATAGCGCCATAACCAGCGCATGTGTGTTTACTTGTGTTAAGTCATGGTTACATAACTGTTTCCCACTGTGCACCTGCACTAGACAAGCAGGGTCGCATCCTCAGGGGTCCTTAGATCCCCCCCTGAGCTTTGAAGCAGTCTGAGTGGTTCCTCACAGTTATGTAGATGTTTCAGATGGAAGTGAGGACACCATTGGTGAACTGGAGAAAGGACCACCTTTTCACACCGTGGCAAAGAATTTGGCCCCATTCCTTGACTCTGTGGAAAGCTGACCTTAATGGTGATAGGCTAATTTATCTGGTGGAGAAAATCTCAAAATAGCAAATCCTTCCAACTATGGAACAGATGTCACTGTCTGCCTTTATCCACATTTACCATGAGAATCAGGAGCAAGGGAGCAGGACACAGAGATTTAAAATTCAAAGCCTGGTCAGGAAAGGAATAAAGAAACATGTAAGGGTATGGCCAAGATATATGTGTTGCTATAGAGGTGAATGTCAATAAAAAGGACACAGATGCTTTAAATCAGAAAATGAGGACCCCTTCCAATGATACAAGTCAAGATAATCCCTTGTTTGCTCCTATAGTCTCCTGTCATGAGGGGCCACTTGTTGCTACCTTAAAAGAACTGAGCAAATACAGGCACCATGCTTTGAATCTCTAAAATTGTGAAGTAAATAAACCTTTTCTCTTTACAAGTTAGTTGCCTAAAGTATTTTGCTATAGTAATGCAGTGTGTGTGTGTGTGTGTGTGTGTGTGTGTGTGTGTGTGTGTATTACTGGGGATTGAATCAGGGGCCTTCCCACTGACCTACATCTCTAACATTTTTTATTTTTTATTTTTTATTTTGAGACAGTCTCACTAAATCACTAAGTTTGCCAGGCTGGACTCAAACTTGCAGTCCTCCTGCCTCAGCCTCTCATAGAGCTGAGATTACAGGTGTACAACCCCCCACCCTACAGACACACACACCTCACATCACACACTACACCTACAGTATTTATAAGTAAATGTACTTTTCAAAGTAGTAGCTGTGTTCATAAGATTTCCCTAAGTATGACAAATACCTGACAGAAATCAAAGGATTTAGTCCATAACCATTTGGCCCTGTTATTTTTGGGCCTGTGGGGAGGCAGCACATGGTAGTAGGAACACAGTGCAATAGAAGCTGATAACTTCATGGTAGCTGGGAAGCAGAGAGAAAGGAAGGGGCTAGTGTCCCAATGTGCCCTCCAAGGGCACACCCTGGTGACTTAACTTCTTCCCAGTAGGCCCCATCACCTAAGGGTTCCACCACCTCCCACTGGTCCTATGGGCTGGGGACCGAGAGCTCAGCACATGTGCTTTGGGGTAACAGTCAAAATGCAAAGTCTACTAGTAACAGTAGCTATTTCTGGGCAGTGTGATTACTGGTGACTTCTTTCTGTGTGTGTGTGTGTGTGTGTATGTGTGCACACATGTACTATATGTGCATGACTTTTCAAATTTCCTGTAATGTTTTACTTTCATAATCAGAAAATGCAATGTAAGAATATGTAAATAAATGCAACACCAATCAAGAGAAAAACACCTTGGAAATATAATTTATGTGAATTTATTAGTAAAATTTTACTTCTGGGAAACAGCAGAAAAAAATACTACCCCAGCATTATACTTCAGTTTTTATCAAACTCCAATCCATTTGACACAAGCGATTACTATCATCTCAAATACATCATCCATTAATTTTTCCCCCAAAGTTGGAAATCATGTTGTTTTCAAGGACTCCAGCCCATTCGTTCGCATCACGTACATGCTAAAGGTACGAAGTTTTCCCTCCAAACACACAGAGCAACACCTACGAAGCATGATCGCAAGGGAGACCAACCATCACTGCTAGGCACTACAAAAAATCAATGACCTTAAAGCCATCACTGAAGCGAGGAGAATCTCGGGAGCACCTCTGAATCCTGCATGCCCAAACAGGCGACTTTCCTGAGTCAAAAAACAGTGCAGGGTGCCATCGCTCTTTTTATGTCATTTGACAAACAAGGGTAGCATGGACTCAAGACACTGGCGAGTCAGAATCCATATTCAAATTCCCTTGCCTCCAGGAGTGACCAGGGATTAGATTATTTTTATTTTTTAAAAATACTTCAAGGATGTCTAACTTTTCACAAAGGATTTCTTTATTGAGAATGAAAAGAATTTAACACTGACTCTGCTTTCAAGTTTGCATTTGATTAGAGAATTGAACAAACTTTTTCCTTTTCCCCCACCCACTTCTCAGTGTGTCTTGGATTTGTGGGCTTTCTTCCCTCTCCCCTTTTTCCCAAAGCATTTCCGGAAGCCGTAGGCACAACACTTAAAGGCGACGAAGGCCACAAACAGTACTATGGCCAGGAGGAAGCCAATTACATCCAAGGAGTGGTACTGGTACCAAGTGAGGTCATGGGCTGCAGGGCGCAGGTGTGGCGCCCCCTTGTGCCTCATCACGAACTCCACCCAGAACACCGCCAGGTCCAGCGGCTCTATGGGACGGTCCTTGTGTAGGCTGGAGAGGCGCATGATGTTCTCCTTGTAGCTGAGGACCAAGAGAGTTATGTCAATGCCTGGGACACACAGAGCAGTGGACAATCCTCCCTTGGTGCTTGCTCCCCGCTAGGAAGGCTACCAGATTTTCTAAACTTGGTAGGGCAATGTGTTTCTATAATGTGCAGAAAACACATAGACTTAATAAATGTTCTTTATTAAGAAAGAGGAGGAGGGAAGGGAGAGGAGACGGAAGGGCGGGGAAGGGGAAATGCAGGTAGCAGTCTTCTTTTGCTTTTCTCTTACCTTTTGTCATAGATGACTTTTTTTAGAGCGTCTTCTAAGTCATCGGCAGTCATTTCAAGGACGTTCAGGTTCACACCAGCTCCCCGTGTCTCCATGCGCTTTGCGTTGTCCATCTGATCTCCAAACAAGGGCATCATGACCATGGGGACACCGTTGCAGATCCCTTCATAAATGCCGTGGGAGCCAGCATGGGTGATAAATGCCCGAGTCTTCGGGTGACCTGAGAAGCAAAACAGGGAGGGATGCAGGCGGTCAAGTGGCAGAATCTTCTAGCCAAGCTCAGTGTTATCCCCACAAGGCCCTTGTAGAAGTGTGCAGGGAAAAGCAGACCTCACAGATAAAAAGCCATGTGGGACAAGCTGGCCATGGTGCGGACAAGCTGGTCAGGGCATTGTCAAGCTAAATGATCCTTTAGATTAGCTATCCCTAAGCCATTTCTTTTATTGTTTGATTTCTTTTTTTTTTTTCTAAGCCATTTCTTTATTTAACCTGGTTTGACCTACCCATCACATTCTCCCAACATACCAAGCAGATCATTTTGGGGTAACCACTTGACAAGTATTGTATTCTTTGCAAGATTTGATGGCGGAGTTCCAGTGTAGCGCCACAGGACCTTGCAAGAACAAAAAGAACAGTTTAACAAAAGACCACGATGTGATTTTTTTTTTTTTAATCTACAGCAGCTAGAATGATGAGTTCTCCAAATGAACCTGCCAGAGCAGGTGGGTTAGGAATTAAGATGGCCTTTTGGGCTCGCAGTATTCTGCATCTTGCCCCAGAGGTTTAGTGACCGGGGTGTGCTTGCTATGTGAATATGTAAAGCCACCAAGCTGTGGTCTTAGAATTTTTTCACTTTTCTGTGCTTCCAGGGAAAGTTTAGTTAATAAAGCAACTGGATGCAGAACTATACAAGCAAAAATGTGAAATAAATCCAGTGTCCCAATGAACAGGTTTTGGAGACATTCTCATTAAATATAGGAGGAACCAATATCATGTTTGTTATTTTTAACTAGATTCTCCCTCACACTTTAGGGTTTCTCAGATAAAGTGAGACTTCAGGGTGAAGTGGGCCATGGTTAAATAGTAGCTGAGAGTTAAACTTAAAAAGGGGAAACAACTTTAGATTAGTAGCTGAGAAGTGGCAGGGAATACCCAATGCAAAGTTCCAAGAGGAATTTAAGAGGATTCATTTGGATACAGAAAGTCAGGGTCATAATTCCTATGAAGACAGATATGAATGAGCCGTGTAGAGTTTTCTCACCGTTTGAGGTATTTTGCCCAAACCCTCAGCAATGGCCATAGCTTTCTTCTCTGGAATCTCTGAGACCATGGATCCCAAAGAGAAAACCACAATTCCATGTTCTCCAGAAGCATTAACATAAGCTTCAAATTCCTAGAGCCAGAAAAGAAACTTCAAGTTAATTGTTGCTCATCTTCTTTGGTGACTATATAGGTTAAGCTCTGAATTAGACATCTTCCTCTTAAGGCTTTGTGTGGTGCATGACTGTAATTCCAGCACTTGGGAGGCTGAGGCAGAAGAATTGCTGCAAGTTCAAAGCCAGCCTGGGCTACAAAGCAAGCTCAAGGTCAGCCTGAACTGCATAGCAAGACTCCATCTCAAAAAGACCAAGAAAAAAAAAAAAAACCATGATTAAATATGTATGAAATAAAAAATTACTACTGTGTGAGTTTCTATTGTAGGATGAAATGCACCACTAGCCCTCATTTCTTCCTATAAATTTTGGTCAGCCTGTTACCAGTAAGCTTGAGAGCATTAAACACAATACATACATCCCCTCCTTACTCCTTTCCAAAGGAGGAAGGCTTCGTGTTTACAGGGTCACCTGTGGGATTTCCTTGAGATAGAGAATCCAGGTAACATGTGAATTTTCCAGAATAAAAGCAGAGGCACATGCATGTTTGTGTTCACACACGCATGTATATTCACACAGGCATGCAGGCACGTGCACATACATGGGCAGTCACACACCATGACAGTTCCACTTAGTAGAAATAGAGCAGTGAGTAAGTACATACATTCTCTCCTACTTCAGACTGTTAATGACCACATTAACCCTTGAAAGGCTCCCAAAGGGTTTTATATGTCTCCAAAGAATATTGCGGGCAGGGCGGAGTTTTGTCCACAGGTGAGGGTCCTTATGGCACAAAACCTTCAGTACTAAAATCTGAACTATCCTGGGCAAAGCAAGACCTTGAGTACCTTAGCTGTGAGACACAGAACAAATCCAACAAGGCACAGTACACAAGACTTACTTCAACAGTGACTTCTGCCAGACTCTAACCTGAACAGGGCTGGGACTGCCAAGAGCAGCCCAAACACTTCCCAGGGCAAGCCCCCTCTCCTTCCAACCAGGCCACAGGCTCCAGGCCCCAGGAAGTCCTCTGGCCCGTCACAGTAGCTGTGTCTTGGCCCAGTCTAGTGGTAATGAACCTACAGCACACATGCCCCAGCAGGCTGTTTGTTTCATTGAAAGCTCTGAAAGGTTCGCCATCACTGGCTACTCTATGGCTCATCTAAGAGGCTGGAAAGGCCAGGCTTGTCCCCCTACCACTCTACTACACTTGAAGCCTGTGGCACGTACACCTGCTGATGGCAGTTGTGAAGTCCTCCCTCCTGAGGGCCATGCCACATTCCCTTCCCTCCCCCTTCATTTATAGCTGGAGCCAAGCTTACTAAGTCAGACCTACTCTGGCCCTTGTCCCTTTAGGCTGTATTCAATCTCCTATCAAGAAGGGAGAGTCAGTCCTCCCTCCCATGCCTACTCAGCGACTAGGATGTGATTAACACAAACCAAACCACTGCCCTTTCGATATCCAGTTAAATAGGAGGATTCAACTAAAGCTTAAATAGCAGACAAGTTTATCTACCATGACAGCACAGCAACTTGCAGAGATTGTGTTATCTCTGCCACCTTTTATGGGCGGCAGTAAAGGAGCGCTCCATCCCCTACTTGGTAAACTTCCCAACACCTTGCGTGATTTCACAGGCCATGGAAGAGCCAAACGGTGAGTCAACATGTTAACTGTGCATAACCTTTGACTCCCCCCCTCCTGTTCCCTTCCCCTAAAATGTTAGATACCCCTCCACCCCTCAAGGCCTAAGGGGACTTCTCCACTCTGGTGAGCATCCCCCCCACCCCCCGCACCCGGTCCAAGGTAAGACTTTTATAATAGAGCCTAAGTTATACCAAGAATTTAGTTTTTGCAGTTCTAGTCTTTTTACGAGTTTTTTTTCTTCTCAAACACGTTTTGTCTTCCCAGAGTCCGCTACATGTTAGAAACACGTCGCTGCACTGTTTTGTGTCCTGAGTCCACCACGTCTCTCCCCCGCCCTGACCCGCGCAGGCGCAGGCGCGCTTCTTGCTCGCTAAGTCTCCCGCGACCCTGACCTTGCAGTGCGCTGCTCTTCTCAGACCCAACAAATGTGCTACATCCAGCCTCTGAATCACTGCTGTACACCAAGATCGTCTCTGACCACAACGAAATCCCGAAAGATGCGCGAATCTCTTGGGACTCAATCCTTTTTCTCTCAGTGTTGGTCTTTGTACTTCCAGATCTACCAGAAGCAGGTCAAAGCCAGTTCATGCTTTCTCTAGGGACTCTCTTAATGGAATAAATATTTTTATCTTTCTTCTCCTTCTCCTTCTCCTTCTCCTTCTCCTTCTCCTTCTCCTTCTCCTTCTCCTTCTCCTTCTCCTTCTCCTTCTCCTTCTCC